TCTATATCTATATCTATATATTTCTTGCTCTTTATTTTTCTAGTCAATGAAATGGCATAGCAGTTAATACTGTACTTACAAGAAATAAGGGTATGATTATAATGGTTTTATTTTTTACCATGTCCAGGGAATAAATAGTAAATCAGAGATGGTCTGTAAATAAGTCTGTATCCTCATTTGTAAAAAAAATTTAATGTTATATTATAATCATTCTCATATTTCTCAACATCTTTCAAAAACACAAAGTGGTTAACATTCTACTTTATGAAAATGTATTTATGCTGATTCTATTGTTTTACAAGTGAAAAAAACATGATAGGTTGGGAAATGGTTCATAATAATTAGTCATGTACATAACAATTATAGTCAGCATATTTGGCGATAAGACAATGGCTCAAAAATTACATTTTTAAAACAACTACTCACTATTTTAAAGAAAAATGTCCCCTCAATATAATAAGAGCAGCTGAATCAATCACAGATTTCCCATTCACAAAAACACCAGCAAGTTTTCTTTTCTCTTCACAAATTTGTATAGGGTTACCAACAATATAATCATTATGGTCTATTAGTCAACACTATCTCAACACAGATATATAAACTTGGAAGGTCAAAGAAAGTCCCACACCCAACTATTCATCAAATTCTGCTATTCTTGGGAGGTCTTTCTGGAGAGGTAGAATTAAAATGCTCAACTAAATAGCAACAAAGAAATTATTTCACTCTAAATACCATTTTTTTTCCATGTCAGTGAAGAAAATCATCAACTGGAAAAACCCCCATGACAGCACCTGAGGTTGCTGCTTACCTAAAGGAAAGAAGCGAGGTGTACCAGCATAAATTTTGCCAAGGAGCACAATCTTCAGACTAAGAGCATGCATTCGATCTGAAGAGCTCGACGTCACACTTTCATTCAATTCTGTAAGAAAGTCGCATGTCTTTAGAAATATTTTTTAATGTGAAGTGTATAAATTGGCTATTTTATTGTTTCAACGTACAAAATACTCCAGAACTGAAACTTACATTAATATAACGAGCAGGCTCTCTGTTAGTTTGATATACTCTCGTATCTTACCAGGACCCTGGTTATGAGATTCTGAGGGAAGTGACTCAGTCTCCCTTATTAAGCAGCACAAACCACAAAAGTGACACACTGAGAGTCTTCTCCAGTATTCACTGGGATCCTTTTCTAGAGGACCACCCCCCACCATATCCAGGTAGCACTCCATGGATCCTCTACTTATACTCATAAAATTTCCATGGACCCTAGATATACGAGTCACTAGCAGTTTGTATTCATTTACCAACTCACTAAATAATATATGTTAAATATACTTGTAAGTGGACACTTACCTTTTTCTATGATATCTTGCCAAAGTGTCTGCACCAATATAGGGTCTGAATAACCAGCACAATGAATTATTGCAAGTTTACACTCTGCGAGTTTAAATGGGTCAGCAAATTCCCCATAAAGCTGTGGGAGAAAAATGCCAACATTATACATCCAACCAGAAGTCAGTATCTAGAAATTAATAGTGAAACACTATCTGAAAGTAAAAACAACCAAAGATTTTCTTAAATTTCCTAAAACATGATATAAAGATATGATAATGTGTAGCTGGTCATAACGCTTGATTAAAAGTGGTAAATGGGGCGGGCTGAGTGGCTCAGTTGGTTAAGAGCTTGCTCAAGAGTTTGAACTCTGAACAACAGCAGTTTGAGTCCTGGCCCGAGCTGAGCAGCCGCTGAGCTGCCAACAGGTGGCAGGATGGCTCAGCTAAAAAAATAAATAAATAAAGTGGTGAATGAACGGTAAATATGTTCAAATAGATTGCAGTATGTGTGCATTTTTTCTTTCTTTGCTGGGTGATGTTGCAAAGACTTTTAGACTTAGTGTTGTCTAAAGTAGGGTTTGAAGAATCATGGAAATACTGACAAATCTTGGAACTTAAGGGTACTGAAGCCATGTCCAAGAATAACTGAAGAAGGAATTGCTCAGAAGGGTACAGAGAGGCTTGGAGAGTTNCTCAGCTGGCCTCTTTAAGTTTTGATATCAACATCCTTGGATTAACATGAAAATGAATATTATAAATTCATAATTTCAGCCTGCAGTAAAATTCAAAACAAAAATTTCTAAATATTTTTTATCCTTGTGTTAAGATAATAAATAATCATATCTAGTTTGTTTTCTAGCCTGATTATTAAAAAAAAAAAAAAAACCCAGTAAAACTAAAAGAGAATTCATCTGGCAAATGTACTGTTTGTGGATGGATAGTAACCACTTATTAAAAACACATGTCTATTAAAATTGTTCTTAATTTCTTAGATTTAAAGCACCTGATTTTTGGACCCAGCTGAGATTTTATTTTACAGATCAAAATGAGCAGATAAAAATACATTACAATAATTAATGAAGCCGTTCTAATTTAGCCTGAAGAGATTTAAAATTTCCTGTGATGGCTTGTACTGCTATTGAAGAGCTCATAGACTGGAGCTCAACCAGGTAACTGCTCACAGCATCCAGGCAGAGATTTGTAAATCTTCTCCTGCAAAGGAAAACACATCTGATCAACTATCAATACATTTAGAAACATTTCTTCCTATATGACTTTCCTCCAACTTTTGCTAACATTTCTTATACTCCCACAGAAGAGCAAGGATCATGTGATTACACATAAATGGCACATAAATGAAAACAGAGAAGGAAACTTGGGGGGAGGTAGATTCCCACACAACCACCATTTTTCTTTTGAAGATTATTATAATGAGGAGGCAGTAAAGGATGATTTCTTAAATTAATATTAAATTACATTTACACATGCCAATTAATATCATACAAATAGCTATTAACATACAAAAGACTAAATCCCCGTCATACTTCTTCATAATCTCCGTATCTTTCCCCTTTGTCTCTGAATTTGTTACCCTGATATTTATTAGAACAGTTAAAAGCTTTTGCTATAATACAGTATCTAATTAATAGTTACCTTTCACAATTTAAAACCTGGCTAGGATTCTCAACATATCTTGTCAATAGTACATGTATACATTCCAAAAGGTGCAGGGGCTTCTTCATTCTGTTCCAGAATGGATCCTAGAAAGAAAATATACATTGTGTGATATAAGGAAACTGTGTCAACTGATTTTTCAACCATTGATGTTAGTTAAACCAGACATCAGAGTCCAAGGTAAAATTTTCTGATATTAAAATAAGCATTTACCATTATGTAGTTATTAAATTATGTATCTGGTTATGGTTACTATTTCAACAACATTAAAAACTGCATGTGATGTTATTTATGAACAATCCACTTTGCAGAGCACATAAATTTCCTGTTAGGAACCTGAGGTAAGAGGGAAAAAAACCCATCTCTTCCTATCAGCTGTGATTCGACTTTTACTGTGAACCTATGTAGGCTCAGTTTGATATTGTAAATAAGAGACTAAATTGGTGAAAGAATCTTAATTCTAGTCTAGCTTCACCCGCTACTAGCCATGTGACTTGAGCAGGTTATTTAGCACCTCTGCCCCTGTCAGATGTAGGAGAGGGGAGGCTTCGACCTGCTCATTTCCATCACAGGCTCATTGAGAGGCTTAAAGGAGACACAAAAGTGCCTTGTAAAACACTGTTATGAACGTTTTGATGATGTCACTATAAATGACACGATCTAGTGCAAAGTTTTATTTGGATAAAAATTATAAAATATATAGTCTAGTAAGGTTCAATATGGTGAGAAAGATCTTTAAACAATGATATCTGAGATGAGGCTACAGTGAATAAATAGTTATTTGCTCTTTTTAAAGTACATGATGATTCTTAATGTAATGTGTTTAGCTTAACCAAGAATAAAGTATACATTATGTTCATTAATATTAAGAATATTTTACCTTTATCATAAGATATAGCAAAGCGACTCTCATTATTGATTTTAAAAGTCTAAATTATGAAAATTTCTGATACTAAATNGACAACAACTTGGCTGTTCCCCTTCCCCAACAAAATCTTAAAAATAAAATAAAATAATAGAATTATATACTTTTTCAATAGGTGTGAGAAGTGTTTGGTTAAACATAAAAGGGTAAAGTCATAAAAATGAATGTATTAACAAAAACGATGTCTTAGATTTATGGACATACACTTTTTCTTTGATAATCTCTCATTTTTGAACATTTAAAAATAATCCTTTAAAATAAAATACTAATCTTCATCCACAACCAGAAATGGGGTGGGGGGAGCAGCAAGTTTTGTTTCCAAGTAAGTTATCTTATTTAAAATCGACATTCATGAAGTCTCAGAAAAAGTCACAGAAGCAAGTTCAGAAACACAAGTTCTTATGAATTTTCACCAGACTCAAATTTTATCCCCAAAGAATTACTTTCCAGATTCAGGACTTTGACAAATCAAGTCATTTTAAAGTGAAAGCATAATTCAAATGCATAAGGGTTGTACATGAAATATTATTTCCCTAATACTATCAATCAAACTTGACACAAAGAAAAGTCTGTATCCATCAAATCAACAGTCTGCTAGGGCAATAAAACTCACCTGTCTTGGAAAGCCTGAAGTCCCACAATGTCTTCTTCTGGTTCTCCATGTTTATAGAAATGAAGCCCAAGACCCTGAAGATCTTTTTTCTCTGCAGCAGTAAGAGAGAGCTCCACCACACCCTCATAAAACCGCACTGATGGGAAAGAAAAAGGACAAAGACTGAAGGCACATTACTAAGTGGGGTACATTTCTCCTTGGCTGGCTTATACACATACTGATCAAGATTATCATGTTTCTGCTGTATATTAGTCACCCTGGTGACAACAGCATATAAAATATTTCTGATGAAGTCTACCAAAGTAAAAGGTCCTCAAAGACTGAGGTCTTAGCATGTCTAGAAGGCAGCTACTAAATATATTTTCTCCATTGGAAAAAAAACTTTTGTATTTAAAATAACAAAAAGGAGGGTTTCAGTTTCTTGTTGAAAAAAAATCTTGGGATTCAAAACTATACCATTGCTAACAGTTACTACTTTTACATTATATTTTATTTAATTTTAAAGAGAGCAGGCAGGTAATATTTTAAGAATTAACCAAAGAATTTTAAGCATCTTAAAATTAAATGTAACCCAGAAAACAATTTAATATAGTCATTTAACTGGATAAAGACTGAAACGCCAATGTTAAACAGTTACATATTTGATGATATAGAAAAAGCATTATTGCTTTTGTGGGGGCCAGTCCAGTTGCTACCAACTATAACACAAGGAATAAATTTCCTATGTCGTATCACTTGGACCACTGAAGTTGAAAGATTTGCCTTTTGGAAGAGGCTCTTTATCACTAACTTGTTTTAGTCACACAGTCATTTGTCCTCTTAGTTAAGAAGGTATGAAGAGCATTTTGTTTTTCACCTTGTCTATACTGAGCACAAACATTAGAAAGGTCAACTTGATGGCTGATTTTTTGATACTCCTTTAGTGATTCCCTTAACATTCTTTCCTTTTCGATCTTATTTTGAACTTGACGGGAACGTTGGAGAAGCTCATTTGCCTAGAAATAGAGATGACAAGAATTGAAAGAGATATAAAATCAAGCACATCGATGGTGCTGTCAACATAAGTTTTAGTCTGTGTCTAAATTTACATCTGGTTTATTATAATCAATAATAAAAACAACACTACAAACTTACTTCTTAATTTTAGGCAGAAAAGTTTTTGACCAAAAAATCCTAGCTATTCTTAATTCCTCTCACAAATATGTTAAGCAAGATAGCTTTTGACTAGTAAATCTCTTGCCTAGTCAATACATTATTGGTCAGCAGGCAGTCCATGTGATACTGATTTTTAAAATTACTTCCACCTGTAGGAAAGGATCAATAAAAATGGCCCAATTACCTCTAATTTATTGCAGATTTAATTTAGTGATCTTCCTTAATTTCTAAGGAGAGATATAGTTAAATATGGCTTAGAAATACTATCAAAGATTCTTTACGAGAAACTTAAATACATATGGATTTTAAGAAATCATGAAAAAAAAATCATGTATTCTAAGCCCATTCTTACACAGATGAGGAATCTGAGGACAGGAGAAGTTAAGAAACCTATCAAGGTCATATATTAAGTAAAAGAAGACGGTTCCTGATTCCAACTCTAGTGTGCTATTCATACCATGAAACCTTCTGTAAGAAACACTGAAATAGATAACAAAGCATCGTACCTTAGAACAAACTGCATCATCAGTGCTATACAGAAGTGGGCAGATATCCTGTAAGTGTAAACTAATGCCATCAACAGCAGCATTATCTCTGATGTAGCAGTTAATCAGAGAAGCAATTAATGCCCCAGTCAGTTCTTTGTCCCGGATTACCAGATCTTTAAAGGTGGTGATTTTCAACTGCTCTTGAAATTCCTAGGAGTATAAAAGAGAATCCTTTCTTCTATCAAATATATAGGAATATCACATTTCCACACAGAATGAAATTTCTTTAATAATTTAACCAAAACATTAATAGACTTTATAATTCAAAAGAGAAAATATTCTAAAACTATACAAACTAACACATTTTTGCAATTTTCATGGAATCACACAGAATTGGAAAAGAACCCACAGTAAGTTTAGTCCAAATCTCTCACTTTACAAATGAGGAAAGTAAAGTCCAGGCAGAGCCAAAATTAGAGCCAGGTCTCCTGACTTCAGATACAACCAGGAAACAGCAATCACTTAGCTACATTAAAAAATCTTGGGCTTACATTACTTTTTCCTAAATGATGTTAGAATTCTATTATTCAAGGCCTTCGAACATCGGAGTTAAATCTCATTTTGAACAGATCTGCTTGTTGAAACAGAGTTCTAAATTATTGAGGTGATTAATACTAATTTTCTGTTTAGAGATTTGACTATTTTTGTCTGTTTTACAGCAAATATACAATGTTCAAATTTTTACACTAATATTTAATTTGCATTTCCTTGAGCACAAGATTCATGATGCAAGGAATGAAGCTTTGAAGACAGATCACAAAAAGGATAACTATGCTAAAAATGTAACTACATTATGTTTATCACCCCATAAAACATTCTATCCAGCATAAAATGGTTTCCATAATTAAACATTAGCTTGAGATTTTTTTTAAAAAAGATTTTATTGGGGAATTGGGGGAGAGGAACAGCGCTGGGGAATTGGGGGAAGGGGAACAGACAAGTTGCTGTTGTTTTTGTTCTTCAGTCTAGTTGTGGAGGATGTTGCTTCACTGGCCCAAGTTGGCACCATCATTGCGCTCTTCCCTGGTGAGGCAGGTCAGTCGCCTGCCTCTGGACGGCCGCTCACTGCGGCTGCTGGCCACTCACGCTGGCTGCTGGCTCACACTTGATAGCTTATGGCAGCCCACTGCAGCAGGGGACTGCAGCCTACGCCGTTGCCGGCAGCCCACGGCAGCCCAGCTCCAGGGTGAGCTGTTGTTCAGCATCTTAGCTGTGGAGGGCAGTGTCACTGGCNTAAGAAGAATCTAAAGACATACTTTAGAGAAAAGGATTTAGAAGGTAGTTTGAATAGAGTGTGTCTTAGGTATTCTTTTAGTATCTTCTACATATTATGAAAAACAAAACAAGAAAAAAATGAAAACTGTAAACTTTAGGTAGATCCAAGTAAAAGCACAAAAATTCTACGTAAGTAAAAACCTGAAAGAGGTTTTATTTAAATTCTGACATCTGAATGTAACTAGATATAGCTAGGTTATAAATCATTCTTCAGTAAGATAATTATGCCATACCTATGCATGTCAGCCAATTTGGACAGGACACGAGCAGCATTACTGAAACTTCTGTTCTTCTCATAATACCTCCAGAGTAAATCCATATAACGAACTTTGTTTTGATCAACTTTGGCCATTCGGACTAGATGTGGCTCCAGAAATGGAGAAGCAATCTAGAAATTGTACAGTTACTCAGAAACATTTTCTCACCACCCACTTGCTCTTCACATAGTAAATATAACATTTTAAAGACAGGTGTGCCTTGTTTCATGAATACATAAGCAAAATTATAATCCAACAATAGATAAAAGAGAGGGCAATTTTTCTCATTATAAATGATGGCTTTACCACAGTTAATGAAAAAGTTGCTATAATAGTTGCATTAGGCTAATAATTTTTTATTATTCAATTACAAATCTTGTATTAAACTCTGAGAACACAGCTATTGATTTCTAGACTCTAAGCTCAAAGGCATCCTTAAAAAAAAAATCAAATGCCATGTGTTCATATTACAGACTGAGGAACACTGAAACTCAGGGTAGTGAAAATATGTGAAGTCACACACAGTTATCTTAATAGTAGACCTAAACCCAAGTCAGGTCTCCTAATTTATAATCCAGTAATTTCCACCCCATACTATAAACTACGCCCATCACGTGGTAAATACCAAGAAACTTAGCTCAATGGTCTACTTTGCCCACCAGGAAAAGATATTACATTACTTATATAAACAAGATTGGAATAAAAAACCATTTTTTACCTGTAACAGTTTATCCGCAAGGTCAGCTTGTATTAGCCAATTATAAAGGGCGATACTAAAGAGCTCATCTTTGGATCGTTGAGACAATTTAAGCATTTGTTCAAACTAAAATAAAGAAAACAATAAAAATGAGCACAGTTAAAGGCTTTGTTGCCAGACATCACGAACCTTTGGCCTTATAAACCCCTGGTAAGAAATCAAGAATCCTAAGCGGCAAGTTCTAAGAGCTACTACTTTTCTCAAAATGGTTACGCTATCACTACCACAGAGAACGTGTAAACACAATGCATTTTCAGAATGAAAATATGCTATGTCTCTTACATGATGTCCTGCTTCTTCATTACTTAGCATGTTGGGATCAGATGACAACACTGGAGGCCCAGGTTTTTTGGGGACACTGGGAGACTGAGGAGCAGCCTTACTTTGATTTACCAGTTCTTGAAGTGTATCTGTAATGCACTTGTAACTATTTAATCTGAAAAAAGAATGGAAAAGGAACAATTACATTAATTAGACAGCAACTGATTTGTCTTATCTAATTTTAAATACACAAACAAATTTAAAAAGGCTACTTTGGAGAATACATATATGCACATATTTGGTATTAAAAATAATAGAAATCTGGGCCGGCCAAGGGGCTCAGTTGGTTAAGAGCNTTATATCTAAACATGTAAATAAATAAGTAAATAAATAAAGGCAGAAGATACTAGAATTAATACTGACTGCTATAGACCTATTATTTACTAGGGGAAGAAGAGAAAGTAAAATAACATGTGGCTACAACTCAGTGTGGACAAAGCTTAAGTATCTTTAGCACTTACTTCCATTTTTTCTTCTAATTCATGAAGGAATTCACCATCTGCAGCTATTGATGAAATGGCAGTGGAACTTTTGGCACTAAGAATGGCTCGAGCAATGTACTCTAGTCGCTGCTGAAGTGAAATTTCTGTGCTGGGGAAGAAACATGTATTTTTATTTATATGAATTCTTAAGGATACGAGATACAAATATTGGGTTGTTTTTTGTTTCCTATGTTTTTTGTTGCAAAAATGCGTCATGATTTTTCCGACAACCCAATTATGATGTGCTATTTGAACATAAAACACTATCTGAAACTTGAAAAATCTACTAGAGGATTTCTAATAAAAGAGACCCACAATTTAAGGCAACAAATAAAGAAACACTTATGTTTGTATCCAAAAAAATAACTTCCAATTTTAAAATTTTAGTTCAGGATATTAAAACTTTGATTCTTCTAAAACTAAATTAAGGACAACATTCTTTATTGCTCCTCATATTCTTCATATCTCTGCCTTAATATGGCCAATACTACATTTCACCTTCCACAGAGCCACTACAGTGACTGCTTAAAAATAAAAGTTAGATGTCACTTGCTTTCTTAAAAATCCTCCCCTAGCCTTTGGCTATTCCTCCAACCTCACCTCCTTCCACTTTCTCCCTGGCTCAGTATCTCTAACCCCAGGGGCTTTCTTTCTTGTATCCCAAACATGATAAACTTGTATTTGATGCAGTGCCTCTGCACAGACTACTGTTCCTTGTGCTTGGACCACTTTTCCTCCATTTCTTTATATAGTTGACTATTCTTCTTATTTCAGACTCAATTTTAATTACAATTTGAGGCTTTTTCTGACCACTCTTAACAAAAGCAGATGCCCACCCCTCAGGCACTTTCTACTATTATCTATGNAGCATCTTAGCTGTGGAGGGCAGTGTCACTGGCCCTCATATGTGGGATCCGAACCGGGGCCCTCTGGCGTCCCAAGCCAGTTCTTAACCAACATGCCACTCGGCCGGCCTGAGATTATTATTATTATTATTATTTTTAAGAATGTGTTTAAAAGAAATAAAAAACCACCAACAAACAACTCTTTGGACATTACTGGAAAGAACTAGGGGAATGTCTTCTAACTTTGAAAATTGTACTCAAAAGTTAAGACTTAAACATTTCAGGTTAACAAAATAGCCCTAAAGGATAAGGAAAAATTATTTTTATAGAATTGCAATTAATAAACATGGAAGACATCAGACTTAGAAAATTACTGTTTTGTAATCCTTAATGAAATAATTCATTCAGGCAATGACTATCAATGGATGATGAAAGTCTGATGGAGAATTTCACAACGGCAGGATTGGATTCACAATTTGGATCTAGCAGTCAATTTTAGTATCACTAAAAGTGGGACAATCAAACCTTTGATGTCACCTAACACAGTCTGACACACAAACCACTACCTATGAAATATTTTAATCTTCCTTAAATAAATGGGCCTGAACTTTCAAGCTTCTGTAGACCTAAGTTCCATTTTACAGAAAATGCAAGAAATAAAGGAACACATTTACTACAAGGAAGGTAAAGGCAACCTCAGAATGCTGTACATTCCACAGGGTAGATGACCCAACATTTACAAGGCAAAAGCAAGGAAAAAGGGGGAAACTGCTCTAAATTGAAAGAGATTTAAGAGAAACAGCAAATCAAATTCAATGAGTGAACCAACTCTTTAGACTGTGATTTGAATCAACTAATCTGTAAAAAGATAATTTTTTTTTTAAGCTGAGTCATCCTGCCACCTGTTGGCAGCGCAGCGGCTGCTCAGCTCGGGCTGGGAATCGAACCGCTGTTGCTCAGAGCTCAAACTCTTGAGCGAGCTCTTAACCAACTGAGCCACTCGGCCAGCCCAAAAAGATATTTTTAAGACATAGAAATTTCATTTTAGATGTTACCAAAGAATATTACTGTTAATATTACTGAGTGTGATAATGATGTTATTATTCAAAGAAATGCCCATCTTTTTTAAAGAGATACATACTAAAGTATGTAGGAATAAAATGACATGATGTCTGTATCTATTTTAAAATAATTCATTAAGGAAAAAGAAAAAAAGAGGATAGATTAAGCAAAGTTGGTAAAATCTTGAAAATGTTGAATACCAGTAAAGTGTATATGGGGATTAGTAACAGTATTGGCTCCATTTTCCTGGATGGTTAGAAATGTTCACAATAAATAACAGGTAGGAATATATTCCCCCCAAATAACCTAATATTTAGATGAATGCAAATTATTATTATTAAAAAGGATTCAAATGAGGAGTGCAAGATAAATATGAACCATTCATTTCGCACATTGTAAACATCTTTCTTTAAAGTAGGAATGTTTAATTAAGGTTAGTGGGCTCCTTGAAATCACATGCAAAATTTTTATGTAAATGTTTGTGTGCATTTTTTGAGGGTGAGGAGAGTTTGATCAGATTCCCAAAGGGATCTGTAGCCCAAACGAAAGTTACAATCCAGTTTTAAAAGAATATTTTTGGTAAAGTGAAATTTCATTCACATACCACTCTGAAGTTCTCATATACTGTAAAAACCTCCAGAGCAAGTTTTCTATTACATAGTGACTTTATCATAACCTAAATGCTTCCCTAAATAACCCCTCCCCCAAATCCAAGTGTAAGATTAAAGCTCACTCAAAAGAAAACAAACTAAGCACAGTAGTAACAGTATGGGACTTAAAGGGAAAGAAATATCCTACCTTCTGAAGCTCTCCTACAATGACAGTGAACTGATGTTCACAGAGGAGTTTCCATAAAGCCAGAGCTTGGTATGATTTTCGAACCAGCTGTTGAATTGCCTGAAGTGAAACCTTTTCACTCAGTTGAGCCTCTAATTACAAATACAATTAGTGAAGTTTGATAAAATGACAGATTAAGTTGTTTTATTTCAAGTAAAACAATACTTTATCTCAAATAAAAACAACTGTAGTTAAGGCTGAAATCCTCATTGTTCTCCCCCCTCTCCCCATCATAGGCAACATGATCATGAGTTGTTGAATTCATGCTTTTATCCTCTCAACTATATATATATATGTGTTTGGAGTGTGTCTATGCACATAAATAAAAATATTGCTGTTTTAAAACAATTTACACCATTGCCTTTTCCATTCTGTTATATTTTCGCAGGCTATCCACACGGATAAATATACATCTAGTATATTTATTTTAATTGCTGAGTGTTCCATCAATACTATATACCACAATGAGGCACACTGTCCACTTAAAGGACATTTATATTTTTTTCAGTTTTTCTACTAAAACAATAATGCAATAAACATCCTTAAAAAAGGTTTCCTAAAAAGTGCAGTCAGCTTTCTCTGGGACTGAGTTTCTTAAACCCTAGGTTAAGATGGATTGGTGAGTCATAAAATCAATTCAGTCAGTCCAGACAGCTTTCATTTTTCTTAAAGAGGAAATAAAACAGAATAAAAAAGGAAAGAAATATTAGAGTGTAGAACAGGTAACGTTATGTCCTAAACTTTTGTTTTAGTTGTGTGAATGTGCTTTTGAACATATGGGTCATAATTTAAAACCTACTCCTTACTGTGGGAAACAGTCTGAAATGCCTGTTCTAGGATGTGTACCTACAGGTGAAACTGCTGGCTCTGAGTGTATTTGCCTTCTCAGCTTTTACAGCTATGGCCACACTGCTTACAAAGTGGTCATTTCAGGGTATAGTGCCAGCACTTTGAATGCTCCCATTTGTATAAATCCTTACCACTAATGCTTGGTACTGAAGAACCATTAGCAGTACTGAAAGAAGAATTTACAAAATAGTGAACAGAAAACTAGGGCCAGCAGAAAGTGCCCTCGGACCAAGGTAAACGCTGGGTCTTAATCAGCAAAGTTCTATCAGCCTTTGGCTCAAACAATAGAAGACAGGAGAACTTTTAAAAAAATTGAATGGCAGGCAAAATTTCAGCAATAATTTATTATTATTCTAATTCATATCTGGAATAATTGATGATTATGAGAACTTTTTAGTTCTCTTGTTCTTTCCTTAGTTGTTACTATTTATAATAGACAAAAACACAACCAAAAACTTGATTCACATTTTTAACTATATAAAATTGAAAAATAACTAGTGACAATGTGCAGAAATTGGAACCCTCTTTGCACTACTGTTGAAAATGTAAAATGGTGCAGTTGCCATGGAAAATACTATGTCAGTTCTTCATAAAAATTAAAGATTGAGGTATCATATGATCCAGCAATTCCACCTCTGTTTTCAAGAGACTTGAACACAAGGACTCAAATTTATATGTAGTCCATGTCTGCAGCAGGATTATTCACAATACCCAAAAGGTAGAACCACTGGGATGAATGGAGAAACAAAATGTGGTATATACAATAGAATGTTATTCAGTCTTAACAAGGAAGGGCATTCTCACATGTGCTATAACATGGATAAACTTGGAACATTATGCTAAGTGAAATAAACCAATCACAAGAGGACAAATACTGTATGATTCCACTTACAGAAGGTACCTAGAGTAGTAAAATTCAGAGTAAAAAAAAAAAAGAATTATGATTGTCAGAGTCTGGGGGCTGAGTAGAATGAGGAGTTATTGCTTCATGGGTACACAGTTTGTTTGGGAAGATGAAAAGTGTTCTACAGATGAATAGTGGTGATGTTTGCACAACGTGATGTATTAAATGCCACTGAACTGTACACTTAAAAATGGTAAATTTTATGTTATGTGTATTTTACAATGAAAAATTCATTAAAAAAGGTATCTATCATGTTTTCTGGTTGAAGAGAAAAAAATGTATGGGCTGAAAATTATAGAAATACATGACATCCATAGTGTCTCACTTTTCCCAAAATCACACTGATGATATTTTAATAAAAAATATTTGTTACCATAAACTCATCTAATTGAGATGTTCACCGTTTTCTATTCAACTAATAAAACCCTTTACTGGGGTCATATACATTTAACTGACCAGAAACAAGAATTTACCATGAAATTTCCTCTGCAGCTCCTGCTGCATTTGCTGGGTATTTGCATTTTCAGGACGCATGAATCCTATCAGCCTCTGCTGTAGTTTGGCAGGAGTACTGAAATGGAAATTCCACAATGTGTACTTGTCTTTTACATCTTTGTTGAGATATGTTCATATGCCATATAATTCAACGACTTCAAATGTACAATTTAAATGTTTAAAACACATTCATAGGGTTGCGCAATTATCACCACAATCTAATTTTAGAACATTTCCCCCTCCCCATTAGCAGTCAATCCCCATATCCTCCTTTCTCCCACCTCTACCCTAAGCAACCATTCATCTAGTTTCTGTGTCTATAAGTTTGCCTCTTCTGACTATATCATATAAATGAAATCCACTAGGATGCTCCATTGTTATTATAGCTCTTTTATTTTAATCCAGATCTAACAAGGTATAAATTTCCCTAAGGTCCAATTATTAAAGGTTGGAGAGAACCAGTTGGCAAAAAGTAAACAAAATAAACATCAAGTCTCATCTGGTTGGCCCTAGCAGCCAGGCTCAGATTTTCTCTAGAGCTAAAAGAAAGTACATTAAATACAGAAGGGTGCTGACACTGCCAGTCTCCCAACTCACTTGAGAGGAACTGCAGGTTCACTGGTCTGTTAGGCCCACTAAGGGAGTATCTATCAGTTGACCTAATAGCAGCTTCTAACCATATTCTTACCATATTCTGGGGCAAAACTATGCCTGGGAGTTTCACAAGAGCTGTGTTTGCATGATGATCTGCTACTGAGCAATGACCACAACTGCTGAGTAAATAGATCCAGGTAGACAGATCTACCTATACTAATGAACATATTAATTCATAAACAGAGCCAGAAAAATATCACCAAATAGATTTGCTAGCTTAGAAAAGAAAAACTATGCTAGGCAGTTGAAACCAATGGCTCCCGATGGAACAACTAATAGAAGAAAAATGAAGACTTGAAAAAAAATTCCAGTTGTATTCTTAGTGAGATTTGGGATTCATATTACAAGTGCTAGTTGCCATGAAAAAGGAAAAATTAGAAAATAAAAGCTCTTGGAATTAAAAATATAACAGCAAGAAAAAAAATTTCTCAGAGACTGAACAAATGTTACTTAAAATAGAATTAAATGAGAATTCTGCAATCTACATAACACACATAGGAAGGAAGGAAAGGAGGGAGGAAGGGAGGGAGGGAAGAATTATGGAAGAAAAGAAATCGAGGGTAGATTCAGAAGAGTCAATAAGATTCTCCAAAGAAAACAGGGAAGTTGCAATAATACAATAAATAAAAAAAAATTCACCAAAGCTTAAGTCTTTAGATTGAAAGAAGACATACCTAAAGACATTGTGGTTTCTTTTCTGAATTATAGTAATACAGAAAAAAAGCATAAAAAATTCAAAGTAACCACAAACATTTAGAGAGGAAAGGAAATCAGCAAGGCAATGTATTTTTCCTATACAACACTGAAATTTAGGAAGAAAATGAGAACAAAACGTGTATGAGGATCTGTTCACCTGATGAACTGCAAATGAAACAAAGAACTGATCCACACTACAGCATGCGAATCTTGAAAATACTATGTTAAGGGAAAGAAGCCAAAACAAAAGGCCACATAGTGTATATTTCCAGTTATATAAAAGATCCAGAATATGGCAGAACCATGGAGACAGACAGATTAGTGGTTACCAGGGGCTGTGGGAAAGGGAGCTAAGGAGTGCTACGGATTGCATGTTTGTGTCCCACCAAATTCATATTGAAGCCCTAATCCCCAAAGTGATGGTATTTAGAGGAGAGGCCTTTAGGAGCTAATTAGGTTTAAATGAGGTCATGAAGGTGGACCCTTCGCCACGATGAGTTTAGTACCCTTATAAGGAAATACCAGATAACTTGCTCTCTCCCTTTCTCTCTGCTAAATTCTTTTCTGTAAGGAACAGAAAGAAAGCAGCTGTCTATAAACCAGGAGAGGGGCCTCACCAGAACCTGACCATGCCGGCACCTTGATCTCAGACTTCCAACCTCTGAAACTGTGAGAAATAAATGTTTGCTGTTTTAGCCAGCCTATGGTATTTTTGTTACTAAGACGGAGTGATTACTAATCGGGATAGGGTTTCTTTTTGGTGTGATGAAAATATTCTGGAATTAGATAGTGGTCATGATTGCATAACCTTGTGAACATAGTAAAAACCACTGAACTGTATATTTTAAAAGGGTGAATTTTATAATGTGAATTATATCTCAGAAAAAAAAAAAGAGTAAATAAATCTCATTTATTCTTACTTTGGATTTCCTAGTGGTCCTCCTGTGAATTGGGAATTTCTATCTAGAAATTCTTGCAAGCCTTTTAGGTCTTGTAGTACTGACTCCAGCAGCTGGGAGGGAACACTGCTTTCAATCTGTAAGAAAGGAAGTATTTTCAAAAGTTTAAAAACAGTGAAAAGGTGTATATATAAACAACATACTCTATATAACTATAATTAAATATAAAGTTTTAATTTTGAAGTACCCTATCTTTTCATTTCCTATATCAATTCACTCTTGGTGACCAGAACAAAGGGCTAGATACCCAGATCCCTCCTCTTCTCTTCTGGTTTGATTTAGATATAATTTACAGACTGTGAAATACACAAATCTTAAGTGAACATCTTGTTAACTTTTTATATTTTAATACTCACCACCCAGACCATGAAAGAGAATACTTTCAACACCAAGCAAAGTTCCCTAATGCCCCTTTCTGGTCATTAGGTATTCCATTTCCCATGTAACTGCTTTTCTTACTTTTATCACTATAGCTTATTCTTGAACTTCATAAACAGAATTATATACTATATTAAGTAAATATATGCTTATTCTTAGAAATGTGAACTTGAAAAGAGTATCAACGTTGAAAGGATATTTGGTATCTTTTCATTTTAAAAAGAAAAATTTAAAATAAATTGCATTCATATTACACATTTAAAAATATTTTACTATCTGAATTTATGATAATACAAATTTCTACAAGATGCTTTCTTAGAGTATCCTAGAAAGTATACCAGTATATGAAAATTAGTACTAGGTCCGAGAAGTTTTGGGATATATGAGTATAAGCAAAATATTTAAACAGTAGCTCTGAGCAATATTAAGTGTTAGGACTTACTCTATTTAACTCTCACAACCTTACGAGGGGGATATATTATTCTCATTTTGCAGTGAGGTATTAGGCTTTGAAATGCTAAGGAATTTACTCATTAGTTAAGAAGTGACAAAGCTCAGGCTTAGCCAAGGGAATGAACAGTTTATCAGACAAATACACAAACATATACACAAAAGCATTATCATTACATCTTGTTTATAATATCAGGAAATGTGAAAAGTATATTTATCCATGAACAATATAAACTGGTTACATACAAATAATAGAACACTATTATACAACACACTTACTGCAGTGATCTCTCTGTTGCCACTCTTGAATACTCTTTCCACAACTAAACTAGCATCCCAGATATTTCTGGAACAAAAAATGTATTAATAATTGTGCTGTAGATGAATAATAACAATTACAATATGTTCCAAATTTCTTTCTAGGTGTTTATTAAAGTATAGCAATGGTTTCATTTAACATTTTATTAAGTTATCTGAAAAAATGGAAAACAGAAAAATTTCCAAACCTAAAGTTATTTCATATAATGAAATACTGCTAAAGAAAAATCAAAGGCTCTAGGCAATGAATTATAAACAAGGAGGCTTATAATGCAAAATCAAATTTATAAAAGAGTTTTACACTGTTTCACATTTTTAAGCAAGTAATTTGAATGAAAGCATACATCTCAAATCTGAGAAAAATATATACTATGTATAATTAACTAGATAGTATGGTAGACTTATTGCAAAAATGACTATATTTTATCCCTCCCTGTACCTGTCCCATTTACAATATAACTTTGATGTTTCTCTCATATAAAGGAGTTTATTTCTGGCCTTTCAAATCTGGGTTGGCCTGGAGACGTTCCTCTGGCCAAGTGAATGAGGTGGAAATAATGGTAGGCCAATTGTGAGCCTAGGCATCAAGAGAATGTGTGAGTTTCTACTGTCTCACAGAACCTTGCTATCACCAAATGAATGATCCCTGGGTAGACGGCTGGAGGATAAGAGGCCTCATGAAGAACCCAGCTGTCAGAGCTGAGACCGCTCTAGACCAGCATATAAACATAACCCTAAACATGTGAGAGTCCAGACAAGATTGACAGCTGTCTTCAACCTCATGACTAACGGCATATGCATGAATGAGCCTAAACAAGACCAGAACTGTCTAGCTGGATTGCAGAAACATGTCACTGAGTTAATATACATTGAGTTATATATTAATATGTATAGAGATATATTTTAAGACATATATATATATATATAAAAATAGAGGAATATAGATGGTTAGATTAAAATAAGCTGAATGACAAAAAAAATTATTCTGGGCAAGTGAACTAAAACTATAAGTATAATTTAATAGGAATACATGATGTTCCACATTTAGAATTAAAAATATTAAACTATACAAACTACGACAAGGTGAGCAATAGTTAATTATTGCATGAAAACTTACCCCATGATTCGTGAAAAGTAAATGCATATACCGTTGTGTTTTCCAGAGTATACAATCTCTGGCCCAGCCATACAACTCATACTTGTGGCCTGAAGTGCTGGATTTCCTGAAGCAGACATTGGAGTTGACATGACCGGAGGATGTACACCTTGTACACACATAAGAAAACACACCTTAAAACTTAACCATAGAAAAAACAAAAACAACAACAAAAAACTTAACCATAAACCTCGGAATTCTCAATAACCCAAGTATGTTGTACCTAGACCCACAGGTGTAAATATTTACAAAAATACTGGAATAAATAGATATTTAATTTCCCTTGAAAAGAAGAGAAACTTAGACTTGGATGGGTGCTCCCAGGTAGGTAGGTTTTCAAATGTCAGCAATGCAGGATAAAAAAGAAAGAGAGCTTGCAATCACAGCTCCTTAATATTGAAGGTGAAATAGAACTAAATATAGAGATTTCATGGGTGGTAATTAAATCTTGGTATCCTTAAAATAAGGGGCTTTCCAGGTACAACTAAAGGTGTTCCTAAATAAAGGCATTCATGGCCCAATGTCAATACTTGCTTGGATGTCACTTCAACTTAATTATATTATTTTTAAGAGAACAGAGCAAGTTAATCTCTTTCATAGTCAGCATTAAGGGTAACACACAATATTAGCTCTTCAAAAAGAACAGTATTAGCAATCTAAAACAAAGAAAGAGGTACCTTGAGATGGTGTTCCCAAAAAGGATGGATTTGGATATGAACTACCACTAGGAAGAGGAGAACCTAAAAAGGAAATAAGAATATGAAGATTTATAAAATAACTTCCCAATTTCTGAATCTCATAAAAATCAGACACAGAAGCTATTTTTAAGCAAATGAGTGGGGACTGGCACCACCCATAATATATTCAAGAATTAGGGACTCATCTCATTTCCCAATAACGTTCTAACAATCCCCACACTGGAAAACACTGAGGTAGGAGTTTATTATTAAATCATTAATCTCTTTCCTTTTGAATAAAGAACAAATGAGTTCTGTAAATAATACTGGTTATATCTTATTTTGTTCCACAGTATACATTAAGAACTCAATATTAATATATCATCACATTTAAGAGTCAGATATCTATAGAGTTATTCACCAATATAGTAGCATTAAGAAAAATATAATGAAAAGCTTTGCCCATTAAAATATACTACAAAGTTTGTAGAATTCAAGCTCTATCAGAAACAGTTTCGCTTCCATGTTTCATACTCACTAGCATAGACAGGAGACCCCAAGATGGGACCGACATTGCTCGGGGCAGGGAGTGCAGTTGGAAATCTCATCTGAGCTTCACCTCCATACCTATTTTTATGACAACAGAGGCTGAGTTTATTCAGTGAAACTATCCACCTTAAAGGCTGAAATTGTTCCAAGTCCTATTTAGCTTTTAAATAAATCCTTTAAACATCAGAGACTTTAATGTACTGTGTTTACAGTGAAATACATGCATAGATACATTATAAAATATTTATTTAGTAAATGTTGATTTGAATATCAGGAAGAATTATGAGGGACTCTGGCAACTTCTAAAAAGGGTCAGCAATGCACAGAATTTTACTAAATGAGTACATGACACTATAGTTTTCATACTGATAATGGTTAGGCAGTACTTAAAAAATTCTTTTAAACAAATCACATTTAAAATTCTTGTTCTTAACTAAATATTTTGCAAATAAAAATCTCTTTGATGCCAAATTTCCTTAGTGATTCAGAATCCCTCAATGACAATGATACATATAAAGCAGAATTGGTAGCGTTTGAGGAAGTAAAAAAGATACACGAGATAGTAACTGAGGTAGAAAGAGGTGTAGAAGGAAGACTAGACAGAAGAGTTAGAGGACAGAATCCAGAGAAAGGGTAACAATGCACAAATTGTGCTCATCTAGCTGTTTCTATTAGCATTGCAATCTTTCCAGATTTTACCTTTTTACAAATTTTAGTAACTTGCCTTTATGCAGCGGTTCTCAACCTGTGGGTCGCGACCCCTTTGGGGGTCGAACGACCCTTTCACAGGGGCCGCCTAAGACCATCGGAAAACAAAAAGATATTTACATTACGATTCATAACAGTAGCAAAATTACAGTTATAGAGTAGCAATGAAAATAATTCTATGGTTGGGGGTCACCACAACATGAGGAACTGTATTAAGGGGTCGCAGCATTAAGAAGGCTGAGAACCGCTGCTATATAGTCACTCAAATGTTTGGCAAGCCCTTAAACTATCACATTGGCCAATGCAACTATTTAAAAAAGTGGCCAAGAACAAAAGAAAACTGACACACACACACACATACATATATATATATATATATATATATATATATATATATATATATATATATCTGCACATATATACCTGAAGAAAGCCCGAGTAGCCCAAGCAGATACTTCTCTATCACAGGCAGCAGTGGAACAAGCAAGGATAAGGCAAGTTGCACAAGCCTGATCTTCCTGTAAAAAAAGAATACCGTCCCTTACATTAAACATCAACATTTAAAAAGAAGTTTTGTTTCATGCTGTATCCAGTGTTTAAATCTGTGCTTAGCACACAGTAGATGCTTAATAAATACTTGCTGACTGAATGAAATCAGTTGGTAAGAAAAAGGAGAGGTGAGCACTACTGGTTTTAAACTTTTCATAGGGGCTATTATTAAAGGATGCTCTCTTTTCTTTTTATCTACATTCTATTTTAATCTCTGGGTTATTCCCCTAATTTTTTCTCATCGTCTTTTTATCTTTAAAATAACAATGAACAATTGCTAACATTTACTGAGTACCTGTCATGTGCCAGGCACTATTTTAAGAGGTTAGCATTTATTAATCTCCACATCACATACTATTAATTATAATGTAATGCATATTTTACATATGAGGAAACTGAAGTCCACAGGATTCAAGTGATCTACTGTGGTGGTGAGGCTGGTGGTTTAAATCCAGAGTCTGTATATTTAACTTTGATCTGATATTCTTGACTTTACACTAAGTATTCCCAGTTCTACCTTATTTATTCTACTTATGGCTTTGAAATACTAATGTCCCCATCACTATTGCCTCCAGTTGATTCCTTAGGTCATGAAGCAAAATAAATAAATAAATAAATAAATAAATAAATAAATAAATTAAATAAAAGGATTTGTCCACAAATATCCTGTGCTTTGAATAAAAATACATTTACCATGTAACTTGAGTATAAGATTCTTGATAGTACACTGTAATAAGACTTTATCAACAACAGAAAATAAAAATCTGAGTTTATCATAGCCTTATAGTGTATTAATACTGTTCCAAGTATCAGTACACTTATAGTGATTAATGTAAAAAAACGAAGTTTGGTAAGATTACCTGTTAATTACAGTAATTTTGGTTCTAACATAAAATTTAGCTATCATTCCCATTGTTTTATTGTTTAAATTATCACACTAAAAAAAAGTACAAATAATTACCTGATGTAATTTAAAGAATCTTTCAATCTCTTCTCCATCTCCACCCACATTACTCACAAGTAGATGTCTCAGTTGATCCACAGGTCTAAGTTTATGAAACATGAGACTCCCCTAAGAAGTTAAAACAAAAAGAACATGAATTTATCAAGTCTGGCTGGTAACAACTGACCGTGGTACTTTAATAAAATCAATGAAACAACAATAAAATAACTTCAAGAATAAGAACTAAAATGGTCAAAAGAAGCATCTATATTTCAACTTCGAACCTATACCAGATCTACATATATCCATAAAGAAAATTTAATAAGAAAACACTGCTCCGTCAGACACAAACAATATTATTATAGCATGTGCTATTATCATGCTTAAGAAAAAGGTTTATAAAATATCATGTCTAAAAGAGCTAGCACCTTTTACTTACCTTTTATTTTTTTTTAACAGATGTGTTTTCTTATTAAATTTAGAAAGTTCTGATATAGGCTCAAGTAAATACTAGAGTTTAGTCTACAAGAAAATTTGCCCCTCAAATCAGAAGATTAAGTTAGATTATCCATTAATCATGTTGGCACAAGTATGTTCATTTAGAAAAAATGAAGCTGGATCCTTACTCATACCTCACACCAAGATAAATTCCAAACATTAAAGATTTAAAGGACAAAATAAAGCTATAAAAGCACTAAAAGAAACTATGGGTAAATTCTTTTATGAACGTCAGAGTAAGAAGTTTTTTACTATGACATAAATCCCATAAGATAACCTGAAAATTTCATCTACTTATAAACTTATCCATATGGGAAAACTCTCAATAACAAAAATCGAATGACAAACTATGAAAAAATATGGAACTAAAATCACAAATAGTTTGCTTGACATACAAAGAGTTTCTATAAATTAAAAAAGACAATTCAATAGACAAGTAAGTATAAAATAGAAATAGTTCACAGGAAAATAAACTCATAAAAAGATAGTCAACCTCAGTCTTAATAAGATAGCATATTGTACTTGGACAGGACTGTAAGGAAATCGGCACTCCACATTCAATGCTAGTGAATGTTATGTATGTACACAGGGAAATCTGGCAACATCTATCAAAAGTATAAACGCTTTGACCCAGCAGATGCAATTCTACATGCAAAATGATATATGCACATGTTTTAGCATTATTTTTAATAGTAAAAGATGATCCACGAATAGGGGCTTAGTTAAATATGGTACAACCATAGACAGCAATACCTTTCAAATATAAAATAGAATGAGAAATTTCTCTATATAATGATACGGAAAGAGCTCTACAACATATTTTTGAAATATAAAAGCAAAGTATGAAACAGTGTATATAATATGCTACCATTTGTTTAGAAGTATATTTGTATTGGTTGTAGATCTGTAACATATCTCTGGAAGGATACACAGATGCTGATGACACTGGTGTCTGTAGGGAAGGGACCTGAATTGGAAGATTTTACTGTGTGTACCCCTTGTTATCCCATTTGAATTTTGTCAATGCATTATTATTCAAAAAATAAATATTGAGAAACAATTTTAAATAATTTAAGTGATAACAAGAAATAAACTTAGCTTATTTTATTTATTTCTTGCTGTTGAACACTACTGACAGAAATGCTACTTTAGAAAAAGTAAAACATTTCATACAGAGTGAGTTCTTTTTGTTGCATTTTTGGGATTTACAAAACTGTCTTTCTTAAGAATACTTTAACACAATAATAAAAAAAAAGAGTAAGAGTAAACATTCCTAAGTACATCAGTAAATGACTCTACTAAGAAACTACTGCTTATGTACAAAAACATTAAATATTGCTTTTCTTCTTTTTGTCTCCACATTGACAGAATATATACATACCTGTGCTGAAAGGAGAACAAATTTCTTGGGAGGTAACATGTGCTGCTGTACAACAACTGGTGAGTCAGTTATTGGAATACGATCCTTATTTAAGGGTGTAATTATTTTATCTACTTTCAATTCATCTATTGCGGAAAGAGCCCAGGAATGACCATCAACACGGGTTGTCATCTATGTAAAAGAAATAAAATGTATTATACTACTATTATTAAAGCAAAACCTTTAAAAAGGAAAAATACAGACAATCCCTAAGTCTGTAGAATTTAATAAATAATACTGTTACATAAATATTCTCAAAAGTCTGTATTTAATTTTCTACTAATTCTTTCAATCAGGCATCTTCTATGATGATAACCTTTCCCTACTATACAAAGGCAACCTTTTCCTAAGATAAACTATAAATAGTATTTAGTAGAATTACAATTCATTCTATAACCAAAGACTAACTACCTTCTACCATCTTCCCAGGATAGACTGATCTATATTGGCTCTTATTTTGGTGACATGTATATTTTTGTTCAATTATGAAGTTATATTTGCTTTCTAAGCTAAGGTACTCCTTTAAAAAAACATATCTCAGGGGGCCGGCTGAGTGGCTCAGTTGGTTAAGAGCTCACTCAAGAGTGCGCGCTCTGAGCAATAGGGTCGCAGGTTCGATTCCTGGCCCGAGCTGAGCTGCCAACAGGTGGCAGGATGGCTCAGCTAAAAAAAAAACAACATATCTTAATCTCCTAAAATACTTTTATTATAAAAAATTTCAAGCATCCAAAAATGTTGGAAGTACAGTAAATGTCCACATGCCCAATACCTAGATTTAACAATTGTTAGCATTTTGTCATATTTGCCTTCTCTCTATATATTTTTTCTTTTACTGAACCAGTTGAAAGCTATGGACATAGTATGTCACCATTACTTTTGCATACATCTAAAAATAAGGATGTTTTCTTATATAACCATGATGCTATTAAAATATTTAAGTATATTAAAAAATATTAACAACTCTGTAATAATCTAATGACCAGCCAATATAGAATTTTTCCATTGTCCCTATGTCTCCTAGAGCTGTTTTTGGGAAACTAGAGCTTGGTCAAAGTTCATATCTATATTTATATTTGCTGGTTGTTTTGAAGTCCCTATTTGTTTGAGAACTCAAGTATTACACAAATGAAACATGATACATAGTATTTGCTTTAAAAAATATAGTTAACATTTACCAAGTGCTTCGTAAATGCCAGGCACTGTTCTAAGTGCTACACACATGAACTCATTCAATCCCACCACCACCCCACAGAGGCAGGTACTATCATAACTATTATAGACAAGGAAATCGAAGGCCAGAGACATGTTAAATCCTTTGAGCCACACACAGCTTTGAGGACATGGAGCCAGAATTCAACCCTGTACCACTTGACACTATACTCCCATCAGGACAGGATTTGTATCTGAGTTCTGAATCCTCACAGTCTATTGCAATACGAGACACCGAGAGGTGCTAGTAAAGTTAAAAAAACAAATGAAAGAATTTGAGAAAAGTGCTCCTTGCCTCTAGACCTACCTTCTGCCCCTACCCCAGCACCTTGGGCCATGTCAGACACCTGGAAGAGCCCTGTCAAACCATGCGCCGACCCTGGGGGTTGGGTTCTTCCTCTTCCCATCCACACACCTTTTTCCACCTCCCCTAACTAGAAAGGCTTAAATTGGAGAATAACTAGAGAGCAGCCGGTGACAGCTGGAACCAAAATGCCTTTAAGAGATGATTCCAAAGAGAGAGTACAAGACATTCACACCCTAGTGGGGGTTGGTTTATGTGGTTTGATCAGCAGCCTCTGGGAGCAGGCAGCATGGACTACGCTAGAGCATCTAGGAGAACAGATCGGGGTGGGACAGGGGACACCAACGGGACGGGGCAGACATGGCCTTTCCTTGCCATAGCCTTAGGGGTGCTGCCATCCCCTTAGGTCTTCATAGGCTGAGCTGGGCTAGGCAGCCCAGATGTGGGGCCGCACCCCTCACCCAGAAACTTTACATTGACTTCCTGGAGAACGTGTGGTTATTTGCTTTTAAAACACAATTATGTATTTGTGGGTGTATATTTGCATAAGTAGGGAAGAGAGCTAAAACAAGATGGGGAAAATGTTGGTAATTCACTAAAGGGGTTCAAGTTACCACTTTCTCTATTCTTGTATATGTTTGAAAATTTCTATAACTAAGAAAAAGTTTTTAAAAATTTAGGCAGACCTATAAATTAAAGAGATCATTAGAATAAAATTCTAAGTTATAACTACAATGGATGGTCTCATAGTAAAATAACTAAAAATACAATATATTTAAATGGGACAAAGATCAATTCAGAAAAGATAAATACATTTTCAAGTGCATTATGAAAAACATTCTAAGAGGGTTCCAATCTTTACTTTAAAGATATCTTGTAATCATTACCATAATGACTTCTAACCTCACAGAGGAAAAACGATTACAATACACATCATTTGAATACGATTTCTAATTATGTGAGATTTTTAGAAGCAAAGAGTAATAAATCAGAAGATAAAGTTTCTTACAATTTTATGCTTCACTTAAAATTATATAAAAAGTTATTTGCAATTCTCAGGATCACTTACCTGGGTTTCCATCATTGGCTTTTGGAAAGGAAATGTATCATGGTTGACACACCACAAAATGTCATTATCTTCGTTTTCCGAAGCTGCCATCAGTAGAATACCTAAAAGTTTAACACATAAAATTGTGTCATGCCAAATAATATGCATCATCAATAATCTTAGTAATATTATTGACATTAATATATAGGTACACACACATATACAAAGCACTCATTGTTATAAGTACACAAGTTATAAAATAAATACAAATAAAACCCTTAAACGGACATGTAATTATTGATAGGGTAGGATTGTTAACTGTTTCAGATCTTATACTTCTTTCAAATAAATACTTTTTTTACATTTTAACATTTTTGAAGTTAGGACATATTTTATTTTCAACGTGTTTAAAAATATGTTTAATAATACATAAAAAATGTTGTGACTCACAATCCAACGTATCTATTATTTAATGAAATAAGAGTTCATGTACTGGTTAATTCAAACACACCATAAATAAAAATGATGGATGGCAGAGATAAATACACTATAACAACATCATCTCAGCAATACTAGCTGATATTAGTTTAATTTTGAAATATATTTTCCTGTGTTCAATTCCAGCTCCTCCCACTAATTTGCTCCCTTTAAAGTGACTTCAGTGATATCAGTCCTAAGTCCACTGGATGGCTGTATGTAATGGGACCGTAAATAATAAAACATATAACTAGCTTGTGAAAAATTGAGAGTAGTTGGAAGAAAATGTTTCTTAAAATTTAGCATATGAAAGTTGAAAAACTGCAATTTAATCACATCATATACATAATTAAAACCATAGTGTTTTTTTCTCAATAAATTTCTACCTTTAAAACTTAATTCTATTTACAATAGCATCAAAAAGAATAAAATCTAAGGAATAATTTTAGAAGTGTAAGATTTGTACACAGTACAATGTACACACATCATTCTAAAAAACTAAAGGTCCAATAACAAGATATCCCATGTCCATGAATTTCAAAACTTAACATTGTTAAGATTACAACACTCTCCAAATTGATCTACATTTTCAACTATCAAAATCCCATCTGACTTTTTAAAAATAGAAATTGACAAACATCCTAAAATCCATATGAAAATGGAAGTGATTCAGAATAGTCAAAAAAAAAAACAAAGCTGGAATTTCAAAACTTATGACAAGCAACAGTAATTAATAATGTGGGTTACTGGCATGAGGACAGATCTATAGATCAATGGAATAAAACTGAGAGTCTAGAACTCATATATTTGTGGGTAATTCATTTGAGACAAAGGTGCCAAGACAATTCAAGGGGAAAGAAGTCTTTTCAACAAATGGTGCTGGGAACTTAGTATCCACTTGCAAAAAAAAAAACAAACAAAAAAACCCCAAAATGGATTAAAGACCTAAATCTAAGAGTGAAAACTGTAAAACTCATAAAGGAAAACACAGGAGTAAATCTTTGTGACTCTGGGTTAGGGAATGGCTTCTTAAAAATAAACCCAAAGTACAGTAACAAAAGAAAAAAAAAAGATAAATTGGACTTCATCAAAATTAAAAACTCTCGTGACTCGGGCCGGCCGAGTGGTGCGATGGTTAAGAACTGGCTTGGGACACCAGAGGGCCCAGGTTCGGATCCCATATATGAGGGCCGGTGACACTACCCTCTACAGCTAAGATGCTGAATAACAGCTCGACCTGGAGCTGGGCTGCTGTGAGGCGACGGTGTGGGCTGCAGCCCCTGTGGCAGTGGGTTGCCATGGGCTGCCATGTGTGGCTGGCAGCCAGCGTGAGCGGCCAGCAGCTACAGTGAGCGGCTGTGCAGAAGCCAGCAACTGATGTGCCTCGCCCTGGAAGAGTGCAATGATGGTGCCAACTTGGCCCAGTGAAGCGACGTCCTCCACTAGACTGAAGAACAGAACGACAGCAACTTGTCTGTTCCCCTTCCCCCAATTCCCCAGCACTGTTCCCATCCCCCCAACTCCCCAATAAAAATCTTTTAAAAAAAACAAAAAACAAACAAACAAAAAACCTCTCAAAGGACATCACCAGAAAGTGAAAAGATAACTCACAGAATGGCTGAAAATATTTGCAAATCATGTATCTGACAAGACACTTGTGTCTAGAATATACAAAGAAAACTTACAAATCAATAATCAAAAGACAACATGATTTATTTAAAAGGGCAAAGGGCTTTTCCTCCCCTCTTGGAGCCTGTGGAGGCCTGCTAGGAACGGGACTTCTAAAACAACAATTATGTCTGGAAGGCCATGGTCCAAGGCCATTGTGTTGACTATAAGCGCGGTCTTCGGAACAAGAGAGCATACAGCTCTTCTTAAAACAAGGTGTTTATGCTCGAGATAAAGCTGAATTCTATCTAGGCAAGAGCTGTGTTTATGTGTACAAGGCCAAGAGCACACTGACTCCTGGTGGCAAACTGAACAAAGCCAGGGTAATCTGGGGGCAACCTGTGCTCATGGAAACAGCGGTGGCATGGTTTGAGCCAAATTCCAAAGCAAACTTCCTCCTAAGGCCATAGAACATAGAATCCGAGTAATGTTGTTTCCCTCAAGGATTTAACTTATTGAAAAGTAAATAAAATGGATATTGTTCTCTTATAAAAAAATAATAAAATAAAAAGGACAAAGGATCTGAATAGTTATTTCTCCAAAGACATAACATATAAGTGGCCAATAAGCACAACAAAAGATGCTCCACATCATTACATCAGGCAAACGTAAAGCAAAACTGTAATGAGGGCCGGCCGAGTGGCTCAGTTGGTTAAGAGCTTGCTCAAGAGTGCGAGCTCTGAGCAACAGGGTTGCTGGTTTGATTTCTGGCCCAAGCTGAGCTGCCGCTGAGGTGTCAACAGGTGGCAGGATGGCTCAACTAAAACAAACAAACAAAATCAAAAATACAAAAAAGCAAAGAAAAAACTGCAATGAGATACCACTTCACACCCACTAGGATGACCGTAACATAAAGACAGAAAACAAGGATGTGATAAAAGTGGAACCCTCATACACTGCTGGTAAGAATGTGAAATGGTATAGTTGCTTTGGAAAACAGTCCAGCAGGTCCTCAAAGGTTAAACAGAGTTACCACATGATCTAATAATGCCATTCCTAGGTATGTACCCAAAAGAAATGAAAACATATGTCCACACAGAAATTTGTACATGAATGTTCACAGCACCATTATTCATAATAGCCACAGTACAAACAGCCCAAATGCCCATCAAATGATAAGTGGATAATAAAATGTGGTACAGTCACACAATGAAATATTATCCAGCAATGGAAAGAAATAAACATGCTACAGTATGTGTTTACCTTCAAGGCACTATGCTAAGTGAAAGAAGTCAGTCATAAAGCCATTTATATGAAATATGCACAATAAGCAAAGAAACTAGAAAAGAAAGTAGACTAGTGATTTCCAAAGGCTGAGCAAAGGGAACAGGGAATGACTGTGAAGGGGTACAGGGTTTCTTTCTGGGGTGATGAAAATGTTCTGGAATCAGAGAGTGGTGATAGTTGTACAATTCTGATTAAATTAAAAACCACTGGTTTAAAAGGCTGAATTTTATGGTATATACATTATATCTTAATAAAGCTGTTATTTAAAAATACTGAGAAAGTGAATTTTATGCAATTGAAAAAATGTTATTTGCAAGTTTCATCTGGGTGTTGAAAAATGAAATGTTGGAAGAAACATTAGACTAAGCAAAGAAAAGGCTTCAGAATGGTTAAAAAGATCTAAAAGTATTTTACGCATGATTTCTCATCGTGGGAAACAGCACATAAAGATTTTTCAAGTTTTGATGTTTAACTAGAACTTCATTTTTTGTCATCAAGATTTCAAATTGTTCCATGAAAATCTCTCCACATCCATAAAGACACTGACACAGCAGGCATGGTATCAGAAAAGTCATTTGAAGGAACAGAGTCTAGAGTCTATTACAGTGGACATAACACTGATTTTGACCTGTGAGTTTATATATAAGACTAATAACATGTTAAAATTAAAACAATTTAAAAAGTACTCAGATATTTTTAAAATACTATAGTTTTTATATACATACCAGTTGTAAATGCTTGCAATATAATGTTAATATAAAAAAGTTGTTAGATAAGAACTAAAACATCCTAAATTTTATCGGGAAAATCTGTTTATTTTCAAATGCATCCTAATTTTAATAATCCCATCTTCAATTTGATAGTATTTCAGAACTTACCTTTACTGTAAAAAGCTTTATGTACTTTTGAAGGCTTTTCCACTGTTGAAGATGCTGAGAATCCAGGAGGTAAGCGGACGTGAACCAGTGTTAATGTATTAGGTCTTGCTAATGGCTGCCTGAATGGACAAGTGCTGAAATATAACCTTATACCTGATGATGGGGTAAAAGTGCATATCAGTAAAATAAAATAAAAGACCTTAGGTACATGTCTTATAGAAGCAATTCCACAGAAAAAAACGGAACTCTGTTAAATCCATACATCACTATCCTGACTTAAATTACCACGTGTACTACCAGCAAAAGTGGATTTCTAAGACAGTGTCACTCGAAATTGAGAATCAATTCAATCAATAAATTTCAGTAGAAAGAAGCTGTAACTATAAGCCAAGAAAGCCTTTGTTCCAATTCAATCTCTGTCACTGAATGTCACTTTACCTTTTAGGCCTGGTTTTACATCTATAATTTGGAGACAGACGGAATCTTCCAATTTTCAAAATTCTTAATTTTATGAATTATTAATATGGCTTGATCATTATCGTAGAAGAACATTTGAAATCATAAATTTCTAAATCTGAGGATTATCAAGTTATAAAAGCAATAGTAGACATATAAATAAAACAACATACCTGCATGTGTGACAGCCAATAACTGACAGTCCAGTGATTCAGAATTTTCAATCACTGCTATTTGAACTATTGGTTTAAAAACAGAACGATCTATAGTCCTAAAAGGAAGGAAAAAAAACTAGTTTACCTAAAAAATGTGTCCACTAAATTAGAAAGAACATTTTCCACCAGTATTCTCACATGCCTAAATATGTTAATAATAGTTGAAGACTAACTTCTTAGGAAAGTAACAAAACAGCAGCAAGAGCTGGCAAAAACTCCTGAATGTGTGTTGTTTACGTTAATATTGTTAAGAGTAACCCTTTTTTCAAAGATCATAAAAGGTTAATCCATTGGGTGAATGGCTAATAGGGAAAAAGGTATTCTCAGAGCATCAAATTATCATCGTAAAAGTTACCACTCATTAAAAGGGGGAAAATGAACCTTTCTAATGGAGAGACCTGGTGAACACTATCTAAACCAAGTGTTTGACAGTGGGAAAACTGGTATTATGTGCCTCCTGATGCAATGCTGTGAAATGCCCATCATCTGTAATACTAGCTAAAAAAAATATTACCCTGAATCTAATAAAGAAAAAAAGACAAATTCAGAAATTGGGATATTCTATAAATAACACTCCTGCTCCTCCCTCCCGTACATCAAAATTTTGAAAAAGAAAAGGCAGCAAGAGTTCTGTTTTATATTAAAAAGACTAATGACCAATGCAATTTATGAGTTATGACTGAATCTGGAGAAAAATAAACAGCTGTAAAGATTTTTGGGACCATTAAATAATTTTAATATGGACTGTAAAATTACAACACAATATTAAAAAGTTATTAAAGTTTTTAGGTGTGGAATTGGTATTGTGTTTATATAAGAGACTTAGGAGATAGAAGCTGAAAGATTTAAAGATAAGAGTCTGCAACTTTTCAAATAGCTCATGAGTGAGCAAATGAGGTGAAGTGTTAACAATTGTTGAATTTAAATAAAGGATATATCAACTTTTACCATGCTGCTCTTTTAATTTTTCTGTGGATCTGAAACAAACGTCCCAAAAAAGGTTGGGGGCAGAAAAGGGAAATCCTCTATTTTAAATTGCCTTGAAAATTTTTTTCTCACTGAATGGCAAAGAAAACATGTTGCGTTTTCACTAGGATATCTGAGTGTAGTAATAACCTAGGCACACAGATAACAGAAGCTGAAAATTTGAGGCCTTTGTTATATGAAGAGAATATTTGTAGCTAAATCAGTTATGTAAACTGCAGTGTATAGTGTCTAAAGACTTGGATTCTAGCTTCGGTTCTAATACTTATTTAGGAGCCAGACCTCAAGCAACTCACAACATCTTTTAGTTTGTTTTGTCAAGAACACAACGCAGACAATACAATGATAAAGTTCTGTATTCTCAAAATGCACTTATGTCAATTATCAGACCACCTAACCTGTACTATGTAGGCCTGTTAAAAAGGTGGAGTAGTTATAAGAGGGGGATCTTTGAGACATGGAGTTTCCTAGACACAACACCTGTAACGCCTGTACAGATCACCTAAGTTCCAAGGAGAAGCTGTATTTCATCCTGTAAAATCAGTCTACCGTATGTTTCAAACCATCCAACATAAGAATAAGAGTATCTAGCAGCTCTGTTTCGAACATAACTTAGTGTCATCTCCTTCAACATGCCTAATCTTTTAGAGATACTCTGAGAAACAATTTTAGTAAGTTGCACATAAACAGTATAATGAGGCCCGCAAATGAAATGTAAGACAATAAATTACATATTATTACCTAGCAATGTTTCCAGCAGCAGAGACAATAGAATTCTGTGACACAGAGGCAACTCTGCTCATTCCTTGTCCATCGTGGCCCAAATCGTAAACCTGTAAATAAAGAATTGTACCTACTGAAACATGGCTATAAGCTGTACACATTTCACAAAATAAACTTTTTAATACAATTTTATTAACTACTTTTCCTTTTATGGATACTTTAATTTTGATTCTTCATATAGATATGGAAACATGTACAGATTTTAACTTTCATTAAAAAGTGGCCCTAAAGATTTTTTAAAAAAGCACACAGTTCATAGGAAAAGTCTAAGTGTGACTGAATATTCTTCCTTAAAAACAGGGATGTTGTTCCCACCTGAAATGGTAGTATAATGGTAATACTCACCTGTATTACTCCTTTCTCAGATCGTGTATATAAAATGTTTCTAGAATTATCAATTGCAATTTGAACAACAGGATCTAAAAATAAGACAAAGAAAAAGGAAAAAAACCCTAAGATTAACAAATCAATTACAAGAACCACTTACAACAAATTAAAATTGTTAAATTAGAACGTTGCATTCAGGGGCTTTCCTCCTGCTTTGTAGGTTAAGTCCTACGATATGTGCATAAGGACAAAGCCAAGAAACATTAAAAAAAAAACCCAACAAAAAAAACCAAATAGATATCAAATACTGTGACTGGGTTAAAAGCATCTTAAGTTATTCTGTCCTCTAAATAAATTTGAAGCCAAACCAAAAACAAATTCTGGATCATTTCTTCATTCAACATTTCAAGAATGCTTGCTATATGTTAGAAATACATGAAATAATTACATTTGGTCCATTCCTCCAAGAAACTTCCAGTTTAATAATTCATTGTGTGAAGGGAAATAATTTAAAATTTCAGTCATATTAACATTTTTAAGTTAATTTATCTTGTTTCACTGAAGCATTTTAAATTAAGTTCACCTACCTAAATCTCTCATTTTTATTAAAAACAGATGCTGGGACTTTGTTCTAACCAGGCAAAATATGTGTTAGTGTGCTCGTGTGCATGTTCTCTCACACGCACGTGCGCAAACACACACGCACGCATGCACACTTGGCTTTAAGTATGTATAGCTATATTTTACACACGTTTGGTGATGCAACATTTATAGGAACTTTGGAATAAAACCCAGTTTCTATGTTTTATAATTCCTTCTTCCTTTAAGAGCCCTTATGAATGTATAACAAATGTTTTTAATAAGACAAACTATTTCAGTTAAGAATGAGAATTTCTGAGGAAAATGTTAAGTCAATGATCTATTAAAAGTTTTATTTGCCAAATTTACTGTTTTCTACTTACCATCTTCCGAGAATGTGAATTGTAGCAATGAAGGAACAAGAAAAGAAAGTGAGCTCTTTGAGTGGTTTATTTTCCTACATCTTTGGCTAAACCAACCTGCTTCTGCCTTAAAAGAAAAAATCAAAAGAAGACTTGTAAATGTAGGTACCTCCATCATATCAACTATATTGTATACACACGTTTACAAAAATCCTCAAATCTTATAAAATACTAATATTGTAAATAAAGTGAGACATGATATTCAAAAGTAAGTAATGAATTTAGTCCTGTAATTAATAGAAAACAGTTAGCTATAATCAAATCACTGCTCTCAATAAAATCAGCTGTCAATTCCAGTAACTTCATTAGTGCTGTTAGTGAATTCATATTTTAATTTTCTTAAAAACTCCTATCTGAAAGCATAAGGAACATAATAAGCACAGTGTGTAACTGCCATAGGATAGAGGTACTTGTACCATCTCTTCCTACTTCTGCTAAAAGGAAATTTTAACAGTAGCAGCCGCCACCATCACGATCTACAGTTTACTGCTCAATAACTGAGTTTTGCCATACAAGACCACTTTGTGGTAATGTATGGTAACAAAGTATGGTAATGTGGTAACAAAACCAAGAGAAACTCGGCAAGAAAGAGGCACGATGTAATAGAAAAACCACAGCTGACCTGGGTTCTATTCTAGCTCTGCCACTAATTAGCCGTGACTGAGAAATACTACTTTATGGGTCAAATATATGGTGAAGGGAAGGAGACTAGACTTTCGGTGGTGAGTACACAATGCAGTATAAAGATGTTGCATTAGAAAACTCTGCATCTGAAATTTATATAATGTTATGAACCAATGTTACCCCAATCAATTTAATCTAAAAAAAAGAATATTACTTTGTTTCCTAAGGTTTACCTTACAAAAACGGCAACAATATATTGGGTTGTCGGAAAAGTCATGATGCATTTTTGCAATGAAAAACATAGAAAAACTACGTCATGACTTTTCCAACAACCCAATAGTAAAGACAAACAGAGCAAAGAACACAAAAAGGCATTTCAGAGTAGAGATAACACAAATGACCAATAAGTGAAAAGATGCCTAACTAGTATTGAAAACCAATTTCCCTCCACCAGATTGGCCAAAATTATTAAGTTTAATTAGTATCAGTATTGGTGAGAATGAGTGGGTAGGGGGAATACATTCATAAATGACTGTCTAAAGAGTCTAAAATTCTTAGAGGACAATAATGAAAATACGAAATATAATTTTAAACACATAACTATAGCCCAACTATTTGAATTCTAAGTCTCGATACACACACACAGAACACGTATCTAGACTATTCACAAGGAAGCCTGCAAAAGAACACTTATTATAACTTTATTTGTGAAAGTGAAAACTGAAAACCTGTAAGTCCATCAAGAAAGGAATTGTTAAGCAAACCATGTCCATCTGTTTTATGGACAACTAGGTAGCAATCACCAAACATAACATATGCCTATCTACTAGACAGTGACAAGAAAAGACTTTCAAGGCATAGTTAAAAGCCAATTATGTAACAAAACATAAGCAATAATCCAAGTAAACACACACACACACAAGTACACTATGTGTTTATATGTGTATACACACATGTAAATGCATATGTATAGGTATTTATAGATATAATTATAGATACTCATCAATGTATGTATCATGTTCTCAAAAGACTCAGAAATGATAATGGCTTTTATCTCTGAAAAAAGGATTGGGTTTTGTAGGCATGACATAGCCATGGAGGACCACGGCTTTAACTGTATGTTTGAATACTTTCTAGAAGAATATATTAATGTGCTTATATAGTTACAAAAACAAAATCCATCCCTGTTTCAAGAGGGAGAAAAAAAATGTTTATAAATGCCAGACTTACTTGGTATGCTACTTCATATAAACAGCCATCCTTTCCAGCCAAGAAAATTCTGCCATTATCGGTGGAAGTTATTGCTAAAAGGTAAGTATTATCAGTGGGAAGAGAATACAGAGGATCTGGAAGCAACTGCATTCCTCCACAAATACTGTCGTTAAGAACTCCAGAACCTATTTTTTTAAAGAAAGAATACGGGAAATCAGTTTATCAGTTTTTTTAAAGTTTGAAACAATCACTGTATTATCTTTAGAATTGATATTTTTACTGAATTATTACTGATATACTCAAAAGCTTCTACAATATACCTTTTTAAATCACTATAAAAAGCCTGATACAATTTTATAATTCAAGATAAACTGAATCTAGTGTATATATATGTGTATATATGTAAACATATATACACATATATATGAAATATTAACTATAATATGTAACATTGAAAAACATAAAAAAACTAACCTAAATTTTTAAATTTTGGAAAAGAGCCTAAGGATATGGAAGTAATAGTAATTAATTTGAGTCACTGAAATTCAACATTATTTCACCCAAAGCAGATTGCAAAAGAAACCACTGAATGTGCTTGTAATTAATTGAGGGCTTCTTACTTTAAAGACTAATGTATCATAGTCTAGTGTTCCATATGTTAAAATGGCCATTTGGAAAAATCAGAAACAAAGAATCTGAATTTTTTAAAAACTCGCTATCATCAATTATTATTATTCATCTTCTACTAGCCTCTCTTTATATTGTGCATTGAAAATGTATGCATTAATATAGTAAATACATCCAAAATACTTTTTTGGCGGAGCTACTATCTTGAAAGATACCATATCTATAAGGCAGTACTGTTTTTCTATAAGCAAATAGCCTGGAGAGTTAACTTAGTGAAAAAGATTGGCTTTTAATTATAATATTAAGTTCACCAACATATTTTTATTTTAAAATACACGGGTTGCTATACCTGTTTGCAAATTAGCATAGCTGAGTCCAAGAATCACTATATCCACAGGGGTTGCCAAAACCAGGAGGTGTCGTACGTGAGGTTGAAAGATGCCTAAGACAAAGTAGACATGTGTTAGGGATTGTTTTCCAAAAAAAATTTCCACTATTTAAGCATTAAAACAATAAGGTTTTACCATTACAATGAACTAGTGATTAAATAGTATATGAAAAGTCTGAACTCAATTCAGATAATTTTGATGTTAAAATCTTACTACCTATAATCATTTAAAAAAGTAAATACAGAAAAGCAACACCTTAGGTAATAAACACTTCAGTATTTAATGCCATTTAAAATCACTGATATTTTGTAGGGTGTCAGGTGGTCACGTCTTGCATCATGGATGGGGAAGAGGCTTGATCACTGCACTGTACACCTGAAGCTGAAGTTGTATAATATTGTATGTCAACTATAAGTGAATATATAGATAGATAGATAGATATAGATATAGATATAGATATATATATAGTCATGGGACGTGGAGTATAGTGTGGGAGTGGAGTCAAGGGATTTGTAATAGATATGTATGATATTGGGGGGAAATGGGGCTGCAGATTGGGGGAGGGGGGTTGTCACTTCGAGGGGTAAAAAGTATAACTATTGCACTGTGTTGTACAGCTGAAACTAATTCTAAAAAATGTGTATTTCATAATAAAAAATAATTTAATAAAAAAATTAAAAAAATAAAATCACTGCACATTACAAAATATGGGTTTATTAAAATACAGACTTCAGCATAATTCACAATACCCAAAAGGTGGAAGCAAACCAAGTGCCCATTACCAGATGAATGGATAAAGAAAATGTGGTATATACATACAATTGAATATTATTTAGTCTTAAAAAAAGCAGGAAATTGGCCCGGACAAGTGGCTCATTTGGTTAAGAGCTCGCTCAAGAGTGCGAGCAAGGTTGCCGGTTCAAATCCTGGCCTGAGCTGCCGCTGAGCTGCCAACAGATGGCAGGATGGCTCAGCTAAAAAAAAAAAAAAAAAAAAAAGAAGGAAATTCTGATACATACTACAACAGGGATAAACCTGGAGGACATTGTGCTAAGTGAACATAAAGACACAAAAAGACAAATAGTATGTAACTCCACTTATATCAGGTACCTGGAGTAGTCAAATTCATGGAAACAGAAATGAGTTTATATGTCAAATAAATTTCCCAAATGAGTTTATGTATCAAAACCAGATAATTTACAGTTTCAGAGGGGACATTACCAAGTACAAACATTTTTTTGTTAATTAATGCTAAGTTATTGTTTAACTTGGTGGAGTGGCATGTGAAGCTCTATGTATTTGTCATATTATGATTTCCAAAAATAGTGTCTCACTGATAGGAATAAAAGGAAATACATCTTATGTTACAATTATAGACATGTCTTTATGTGTATATACAGTTGGCCTACTTAAGGGTGTTAAATGTCATATAAAATACAACAAAGTTTATTTGTTGTAATAAATATCATCACTTGGTTTTACTTTCTTTTCACTAATGAACCTCAAAGGGCCAAAAACCAGTTTTGTGTATCAAAGTTCAAGTCAGTAAAGCTGAAGGCACAGACCTTCTACTGTAACGACCTCAAAACATACCTGATAGTTTATAAGTTGATTGAAAAAGCTTGAACTTTTTGAAAACTTAGATTTCCATCAATAAAAGCTGTATCTCAAAGTATTTGGTCATAATGCTGAGCCAAAGAAGTCATCTTTGATTACAGACACCTTAATAAAGTTGGAATTCTAGAATGGTGGAGCTAGTTATGGCTTACAGTAAAGGAAGATAAGTAAAGCAGTGCCTTATCAAATTATGTCATCTTCTCTAAAATCTCTCCTAATTTATTAAAGTATTTTGTAATAGATGGTAGAAATGGAAGCGATTCCCCTTTAGGAGGATCAAATGACTGTTATGTCTACCGTCAGTCAACTCTCACTTACTTATAAAGTGCATGTCTACTTAGCACCTTTTAGGCACTGCCATAGTTGCTTAGATGTTGGGAATGGTTCAAAATTTCAATGCTCAATAAAAACATGGGAGAAAAAGTTTAATTCTTGTGTAAACACTGAAAAATTCTTATGTTTTATTAAAAAAATTATAAAATTGAAACGGATTCATAATCTTGCATACATAGAAGTACCAATAAAGCAGATTCATGACTTTATGAATAATGCTTCCTTGCAAAAGGCAAAAATGTGGACACTATTAGCTGTAACAAGCTTGATAGTCAGAATTTTCAGTACTTGTTGACAGCAAAGTCAAAATTGTTTAATTATCAAAGATAACATTTTTTTTGCCATATCAAATACTAATTTTGCACTGAAGTTTACATTTGAGTAGAACGAAATTTTACCATTAATTTTAGATGGACAATTTATATTTATTATAAATAGGGGCAAGAACAGGTTTTGACTTTTACATGAATAAAGTTTTAAATGAAGAAATAAGATGGAGATACACTACGGTAAAGAATGCTTTGATTCTATATCTTAGGAAATACATTTCCATTGTAACGACATGAACAATGTATAAAACTGAATATTTGTACTTGTGTGAATTATTATAATCTTAAAACTGCTGTGACCTTAAAAAATTTCATTTAGGCCTTGTAATCAAATGAATTTTGTCTATATCCTCTTGTAGAAAGGTGCATTCAAGAGGTGTGTATTAAACTTAAATCTGTCAATTCTATTTGTCAGTAGCTCTGATAAAAGATCTCATATAATGAAGTTGAAACTGTAAGTTAAACAATGCTTGTGACTTCTCTATGATTTATTCTGAACTCTGTTCTCAGTTCCATGGGCTATCAAGACTAAAAAAACACAAAGACAAAATGTTTTTTAAATTATATTCAGTAACTAATGAAAAATGTATAATGCAAAAAAACTTTGGGTAAATCAAAAAGAGTAACAAAAAGCAAGATAAAATTCTAAAATTATAGTTTAGCAATTTTAAAGGCAGACTCACTTACAACCATAAAGTGAGTAAACTGTTAAAGATTCCTAGTCGCTTCATATGTTTCTAATCAGAAGTAATTCAGAACGAAGATTCAATAGGAAATTCAACTACTTAAAATGTGTTATCTTTCTGCCCTAAAACATTTGAAGTCTACGCATATACAAAAGTAATTTCATCCTTATATTATTTCTTACCAGGTTTTGGTTTCACAAGTCCCACAGCAAGAATGGTCTCACTAAGCCCATCAAAATAGGCAAGGTCTCCTCTGTCAATAGTTGAAGAAAAACATGTTATACACATAAAGAAAACAAAGTTTTATCTTCCAATGCTCTTTAAGACTATGGAATATAATGAAAAACAAAGTGTTTCAGTTCCAAGGCTCAGGCACACCCAGCTGCCTTGCTGCCAAGCATAAACCAGAAGAGGGAATGCTGCTTCCTATTCCAAAAGCCCCACCCCCGGGTTGCAAGTGTCAAGTAACAACAGGGGGCAGGCGCAAGAGTGTGGAGAGGACCCTCTCACAAGAACAGGCTCAGGGAAAGCCTGTGGCTGAGAGTGAAACAGGAACACTGAGAGAAAAACCTCCAGCAACCCAACCTGTACCCGAAGTGCAAGGTAATTCTAAAGAAATTTGAAATGTGTGGTCCACTGAGGGTAACCACGGGAACAACAAAACCAAACTAAGCTTCATGCCTGACTTGGAAAAAAGTAAATCCTCCCACAATAAAGGTCTACCAGGTAAGCTCTAGCAAAACAAGAGACATGTCCCATTTCTTTTAATTAAAAGAAAAAAAATTAAATTTATTGGTGTACATTGGTTAATAACATTATATAAATTTCAGGTATACAACATTATAATATGTGTCCATTGTGTGCTCACCACTCAAAGTCTAGTTTCCTTCCATCACCATATATTTGACCCCTTTTACTCTCTTCATCCTCCCCCTAATCCCCTTCCCCTCTGGTAACCACCCTTGTTTTCTGTATCTATGAGTTTTTTGCTTTTTGTTTTATATCACACATATGAGTGAAATCATCTAGTTCTGAGACACACCCATTTCTAAAGATAAACGCTATTTACTGCAGTATCCACTGTCCTACACATGATGTCTGGCTTTCAATAAAAAAAAGCAGGAGACACAAAAAAGCAAGGAAAAAAAAAACCACTCTCAAGAAATAAAGCAATCATCAGAACCAGACTCAACTATGAGGCAGGTGTCCAAACTCGCAGACAGAAAATGTAAAATAAATATGATAAATACAGTATAGGCTTTAATGGAAAATGTGGACAAATATGCACAAATGATGAGGAATTTCAGGAGCAATATGAGAATTGTAAGAAATAAGCAAGTGAAAAATGTTAGAAAAGCACAGCACAGAGAAAGAATGTCTTTAAGTAGTCTTCGCATAGCTAATAAAAGAATCATGAAATTGAAGTTATGTCAACAGAAGTTGTCCAAATTGAAAAAAAAAATAAAAAAAATTAGAGAAACAAAAAACAGAACAGAGCATCCAAAATCTGTTGTATAACATCAAAAAGTCTAACAAAAGGATAAGTGAAATCTCAGAAGATGAGAGAGGGAGAGAATGGGGCAGAACAAATATTTGAAAATAACGGTTGAAAAAATTTCCAAAGATAACAAACGACATCAAAGATCCAAGCAGCTCAGAGAACACCAAGCAAAATAAATACCAAGAAAAAAAATATATGATCCAGACTCTGAAAAAGACTTCTGGTTGTTCTGAAAAGAGCCATGCAAGCAGAAAAGAAAACACGTTAACTGACACTTATGTGGATCAGGCCCCCACTTCCTCCTGCTGTGGCATCACACAGGCTCCTCCGATAACTAGCTCAGCCTCCGGAAACAAGACCAATCCAATATTGGGAAAGTTGAGGATCAGAGAACAACAAATTGAACAAGATTATGTTTGTATCATCCAGAGTTAGGCTTTATAATAGAAAGCTAAAGGAGTAACTGAAACTAAGCCTGCGGTTTTTGGAGAATTGAACTTGTGAACTAAAGATTTACACCCAGTACTTATGCCTTGATTTTTTTCAAAAGCACATTGCTCAAATAATTTTTCTTTAAATGAGTTCCAGTTTGAACACACAGTAAGGTCGGATTTTACGTCCCATGAGGGCAGGGACCTCATTTATCTCTTTCAATACTGTTCCTAGCACAAAACAGTGTCTGATATATAATAAACTCAATGTATTTGTTAAATGAATAAGTATGTTACATGTTAATGGAAATATAAAAATTTTCATTAAAGTGAAAACTTCTTTTAGAGAAATTATTCTTGACATTTAGCTCTTGTATAATTTTTTTGCATTTGGTTGTCTCAAGGAAATCCATACCTAAATGAAGAGGTTTTATCCTTTAGTAGCAAATGTTATGGTAATAAAACAAACTGGAGAATTTCAGGGTACATGAAGAACAACCACAACTATACAACATTGCTATTTTGACTATATAACATTTCAACAATAAAAAATAGCTTTGAAAAGTTCTAATTAAAAAAAATGGACAAACAAAAATGGATTTATGTAAGCTACAAGTTCTCACTTATTGTCAATTTTGATTCAATGATACATTGTTAGTGTATGTGTTCATTTCTAGCAAGTGCATTAATTATTCAGGGATAAGAGTAACATCTTAACTATATGGGCCTTCCTGTCCCACACCTTCCCTAAAGACAATACCATGAAGAACTGGAAGTAAGCCAAAATTTATCTCCAGCAAGCCCAGACTGAGATCACCAGATCAATAAACTTTAAGCAAGAATACCTTGGGCCTTCACTCAGTCTATTACATACATTTAATTTACGTGCAGGTCAAGGCCACAGAATAACAAAACAGTTAAGTCACTTCAATAAATTAAGTCTTCCTCTCCACAGAAATGCAAGGAAAACAGGTGTAAAAATGTCAAACCATCTTTCATAGAATTACTTATAGACTATCTTTACTGCAGGATGGAGCTTGGGAACTAGACTTCTGCTACCCAGAGTGGTTGGTACCTAGACTGGCAGCATCAACCCCCACCTCCCCTCCCCGAGCTTGTTACAAATGCAGGCTCTTGAAACTTACTCAGAGCTACTGTACATATTCCACATTTTAACCCTATCCCCAGGTGATTGGTATGCACACTGAGAAGCACTGAACCAGATATTAATGAGTGAAAGATAAATCAGGCAGCTTCAAATGAGCAGAACACTAGCTTCAATAAAGATAATCTAAATTCTAATCATGCTATAAAGCAAGCCAGCCTTAAATACATACCCATCTTCATAGTTCCACATAAATATGTCACTGTCAATTGTGAGCCAAGCTCTGTTGATAGGAGGGAACACGCCCATCATGCAGTTACATTGCATATCTGAGGTATGTGGATGTAAGGTAAAAGATTTCAATCACATCTTTCTTAAACTTGTTTCAAAAGACTGATTTAAATTTTATAATTAAAAAGTCATGACCTGTGTCCATGCTTTAAAAGAACAAATAAAATATCTTGATTTCCAATGAGTTTAATGAAAGCCATAGTGTATGACAGAAATACTGATAATTTATAATTTCTAAATAATTATATTTAGATATAATATAATTATATTATATATAATATAGATATAATATAATTCTAAATAATTATATATCAAGTGGTCAGCTGTCTGACCACTTGAAATGTATTCTGTGCAAATGTAATGTTTACCACTGCTAATTTAAAATATATTATAACACCACCGAACTTTGACATTAAAAAACTGTTTTACTGAACCAGTTTTTCTAATTATATATGAGCAAGAGTGAAAAAACACGTATGGTATGCTAAAGTCACAGGTAGGTAACAATTTGCAAGTCTCTTGTAAACAGTGCTATTGAAAAATAGGCAAAGATTTATGTTATATAATTATAAGACAATGAAACAATTGTGAAAACAAAATAATTTCCTAAAGAAAACGTCTCTTGCAGAGTAGAGTATAGAACTATCAGAGGATTAAAGAAGACAATTAAAAAACTCAGTAAGCGGGGCTGGCCGAGTGGTCCGGTGGTTGGGAGTTGGCTTGGGATGCCGGTTCTGAGCAGCAGGGCCCCAGTTCGGATCCCACATGGGTCAGTGGTGCTGCGCCCTCTACAGCTGAGATGGTGAACAACAGCTTGACCTGGAGCTGGGCTGCCGTGGGTCGCCAGTGACGGCATAGGCTGCAGGGCAGCTGCCATGGGCTACCATGAGCGGCCGGCAGCAGGCGTGAGCTGCCGTGAGTGGCCGGCGACCGATCGACTCACTTGGGAAGAGTGCGATAATACCAACATGGGCCGGTGGGGCAACGTCCTCCACAACTGGACTCAGGAGCAGGGGGACAGCAACTTGTCTGTTTCCCTTCCCCGATTCCCCAGGGCTGTTTCACTCCCCCTAATTCCCCAATAAAATCTTAAAAATAAATAAATAAACAAATCAGCAAGGGTAGATAGAGTATGAGATAAGGTAGATTATATATTTAATAACACTATTTTAAAAAGTCTCAGAGAAACAATGAAAATTTTAGGGAAAAAAATCTATTAGATTTTACTACTTTTTCTATTTATTTTATAAACATTTTCCCTAATTTTCCATTTCCTTTTTCTAAATCTTACTGTATTGAAATATGAAACCTTTGTACTATAGAGTAATATACTTTTAAGTCTGATTAAATTTTAATGTAGCATCTTGATGTCTTTATTATGAGCTATAAATGGATATAAAATATATCCAGAAAATAATTACAAATGTAGTGTTTTTAGAGGGTATTCTACACTTTAAGAAAATCAGATACAACCTTTCTTTTTAGGGGTAAGAAAACTCCTCTAGTTACTCAATCAATGAAGACGCATTGTGTTTTAGTTTTTTTTTTTTTTTAAAGCTGAGCCATCCTGCCACCTGTTGGCAGCTCAGCAGCTGCTCAGCTCGGGCCGGGAATCGAACTGCTGTTGCTCAGAGCTCAAACTCTTCAGCGAGCTCCTAACCAACTAAGCCACTCGACTGGCCCTGTATTTTAGTTTCTTATATCTTATAAAACAGATTATGATCCTCAGAAATAAGGTCACATATAAATTTCAATTCTAAGACATCAGTAAATGCAAAAACCACAGCAAAAACTTTTTTGGGGGGAGAAAAAAAGGAACACCTGGAAGTTTTTATTTGTTTTTAGTCATATTTAGAGCCACATCCCAGTTTCAAAATGTTAAAATATGGGAAAAAATAAAAATGAAAATTATGGGCTTTGAGCTATAAAAAAGTATGGTAGCAAAAACTTTTTCATAGAGTGCTTAACTGGAAAGTAATACTTTGCAATAACAGGATTTAAAAATGCAGAGTTCCTTGTAAAACCATTCACTGAATGTCCCAAAACAATTAAAATGTGACTAAATTTTCAGTTTTATATGAAATTTTCTAGGCAAACTACCCATGTACTTAAATATATCTTAAATAAAACCCTTAAATGAACTTTAATACAACACTCATTAAATATAAAACAGGAATTATGATAATGAGAATACCAATTTAAAATTTTTTTAAAGAGTTAAATACAAAGTAATAGGATACGTCCAAACTGTTCAACAAGTTCAGGTGGGAGAGGAACTCTTCGGATGGAACTGATCTCTGGAAGGTTGGGTACTGACAGCAACCCAGGTCCTTGTAGAGGATAATCCATATCTGACATGCCAGACACAGTGGGATTATCTACAAAGAATAAAATGAAGCATTTATTTAAAATTAATAATGTGTTAGGCAGCAACTGGGCGTACAGAAGTACTACAAGCAAGCAACAAAAAAATTGTGCATCTGGTGGTTCTGAAGGTAATGAGAGAATAGTTCTGACCTGACATTAAGGTGGGGGCAATTAGTGGGTTCAGCACTAAACAGGTTATCTTTCCCAAAGACTTACTCCATGAAAAAGGAAATTTTTAGCTCAATTAGTTAGTGTTTTTCTACTATTTTAACTAATCTGAAATGGGATCTATATAGTGTAACCATTTGGTGAGTCTCAGATCAAACAACTGTGGACAAACCAAATATTGATTGGGGAAAATGTTTCCTTTCCCACTTAAACATTTATAGATTAAAACAATCCATGCCTTTTCCCATTAGATTGTCCACTCTAGGGCCATTAAAATAAATACAAATAATACCATAGAAGCAATAGTTTAAGAAGAAAAATCACAGACTGCTCTACAAAGTGTTCTCATCTGGCAACCTTTCTCTTGCTTTTAGACCCAGACACTAAGGGCGGGTAGGAGCAGGCTGGTCTGTTCAGCCTATCTGCCCTAGTCCTGAACAAAGTCTTCTTTAGATTTGACTCATGACTTATTTATCCCCGGCACATTTTCAGGCTCTCTAAAGTACAAAGGTATTGGGGAAAACTTACATGTAATACAATTAATAAATGTATTATGGAAATTTAAAAAAATATGTACAAGTAGAGAGAAAATGGCAATCAATTCCTATGTACTGACTACTCAGCATCAACAATTACCAATAACATGCCCAATTATGTTTCATTTATATCGCCATCTATTTCTTTCCTAATGGATTTTTTGAAGCAAATTCCACACATTCCATTTCATCTTAAAACATAATTTTAACACAACATTGCACCTGTTAAACGGCAGTGGGGGCACAAAGAATGGAATTCATAATTCTGGTGAGGATGTGAATGGTTACAAAAGCTTTCACAAAGAAAGTGATACTTAAGGGGAGTCTGGAAGAATTGTTTGTCAGGCAAAGAAGAAAGAACATTCCAGAAATGAAGAGTGCATGTAAAATAAAATCCTGAAGAGGGGACTTTTTACAGAAAACAGGTTAAATTCAGTGTGACTGTAACAAGAGGGCTAAGAATAGGATGGAAGCTGAGGAAGAGATGAGTTGAAAAGGTGGGTGTGTGTAAAGGTGGACAGGGAGGATTAGGGTCAGATATGATGAAAGGCCAGAATGTATAGACTGTATTTATAGCCTGCTTTCAAACCTAAGGAGGTCAACGTGAGTAATGCTGTTCAAGAGGGCAGCTAATAGGCCATTCAGTTCTCCTAAGACAGCCCACTAGTAAGTAGCTGTCAGGAACAAATACTATCTTTGGCTTTGTTTTGATTTTTTTTTTCTCTGATTACACGTCTGCTCAATTAACACCTTTTATAAGTCGTCAGAGATGTCTTTTATGTTTACATTGGAAGGATTATCCTGGTTATTTTATGTCAGTTCTTGCTTACCAAAAATCTTCTCTGTCTTACTTATACTTCTCTGCTATTCTTGAATCCGTCCGACAAAGGAGTCAGTTTTTTTTTCTAGCAATTTATGTAATTCCACATGCCCTGAGGAACCCAGCCATGATGAAAAACCGTTAAATAAAACACTTTTCCAGCCATCTCTTTCTGCCTTACCCTCCATGTCCATCATCATTGCTGATTTCCCTGTTCTCTTTCTTTATTCCACTGGCAGTTTTAACACCTTCCATCATTTCATATTAGATATAACGTCATGTAACTTTACACATAATAAAACATATCTTTGAGAGATAACATGGTAAATTTCGCTTGCTCTTCCGTATTACTCTAATATTAACACGAGTAACTAACAAAGATGAGGCTTGGATCAGGCGATCCTCATCTGGCCTTAGCGATAAACACTTGGAGGCAGTAAGCTCATTAAAGCTGGGGTCTTTTCCTCTTTGTTTCAAATGGGGGCTTCCTCTTCACTCCTACCCTCTCAAGAATCTGCAATGAAGAAAGTGAGGACGGGAAAAAATGAAAATGGGCTCTTTATCGCTCTTCGAAATGTAGCAAACGGGGCCCTAAATGTCAAGATGTCTTCGCCTGGTCCACCCTGGGACTAAGTACCAAGTGAGGGAGTCAGGCGAGAGTCCTTTTGATTAGGAAAGTATAATCACCAAATAGGCACCACTCACTCACTTGGGGCAGGCACCATGAGCAGCTCGGAAAGGTCCGGGTACATGCGGTCTTCTTGCAACTGACGGTCGATGAGCCTCCCCGCATTTTCCAGCGTTTCCTGCAGGGCTGCGGCCGACGTGGAGGCTGGCATCGCCAAGCCCAACAAAGAAGACGGCATCTCAAAAATCCGAGATGCCAGCGTCCGGAAAAAGTAAAAAACCAAGGAGAAATGAGAGAAAACCCAACACCCTCGCTGAGAATCGCGCCTTACGGCGCGCGCGCCAAACGAGCGCCTCGGCGCTTGTGCATGACGCACTTCCGGCTCGTTTGCTGGGGAATTTGAAGACTCCGTTTTTGAGTTGGGAGGAGGAAGTCGCTGACGGGGCTGGACTTTAAGGGTGGGACGAGTGAGCGGGAAGGCCCCTTCTTGGGGGTGGCTGGGTGTTTGGGGTAGGGAGGTGGAAATCGGAGGAGGTTGTCTAGGGAAGGAAGGAAGGAAAGAAGGGAGCGGGAAGGGGAAAGGAAGGGGAAGGGGAGGACCCGGGGATGGAGACGGGACAGGGTCGGGAGGAGTGGGGAGGAGGTGAGAATGGGGGAAGGGGCTGGGACCGGGAGACGGTCAGTGCAGGCCGCGCATTGGCTGCGGTTCCGCTCGGTGTAGCGCGCGCTGGGTCTTGCTACCTCGAGCTTCGCTGATCCCAATCCCGCAAATACAACTGTTTAAAAACATGCGCGTCAATTTCTTTGGTCCTCCAAATAACTTACCTTCCCAGAGTGGCTAGGAGTTGGCAGCTTGTTGTCAGAGACAGTTTACGCATGAACCAAAATTTCACTACGTTACTTTTGGGCTTCAGTGTAAATTAAAATTCATGACGCTTTTCTATCTGTGTCGCTACCGTTTGACTTTGGCCGGTTACTGTGAAGAATTCTCTGTTTACGGAATCATTTGCTGCGTCCAATGGAGCAAAGTGCAGCCTTTATTTAGTTCTTATTTAGCATCTCACCCAAGTAAACTGCATCCAGTTCTATGCTTCATAGTTTCTCAAGTCAGTGACTTTAAATTGGTTTTTTGCTATGTTAATTACTTTTTACTCCTTCAATAAGGGTTGACTACATTTCTGAATATTAAAGTTCTGTGACGTTACAGATCTGTAGGTATAATTTAAGACCTCATAGCAAACATACCAGGAAAAATTAGATTTGTATTATTGATGGATAGTCTGATGGGCCTCCAGCTGTCAGTTTTTTCTTATTTTGTAGACAGCAGATTGAAAATGAATGTTCTGGTCCAGTGTTTGTTTTTAGTTTGAGACAAAATATACAATTGAGAGTTTTCAACTCCGCAGATTGGATGACCTAGCAACACTGGTCTAATATTCTAACACAGCAACAACATTCCCAGAGGTCTAAGTCCAACTTCCATTGGTTCATATATTGCCTGTGGCTGCTTTCTGGTTACCACTGCTGAGTGGAGTAGTTGCTACACAGACCACGGGGGCCTAAAATATTTACCTTCTAGCCCTTTACTGAAAAAATTTGCTGAAGTCTTCTCTAGAACAGCAATTTGAACATTTTCTGATCTCAGAACCTCTTGATACCCTTAAAAATTATGAAGGACTACAAAGAGTTTTTGTTTTGTGTAGGCTATATTTATGATAATTACTAATAGCTCATAAAAAGGGGAAATTAAAAAATTCATTTAAAAGGATAAGCCTAATCCACATCAATATAAGTAACATATTTGTGAAAAATTACATAGATTCCAAAACTAAAACATTAGTGAGAGGAATTGCATTGTTTTACATTTTTGCAAGTCTCTTAAGTGACAATAACAGATAGCTAGAGTTTCATCTGCACCTGCCGTTAATATGTTGTGATATGTTGTTTAGGTGAAGTATACAAAGAAAGCAGGCCTCACACAGTTATGTAGTTGGAAAAGAGAGAAGTATTTTAATAATTTTTAAAGACACTTGTGAATGTTCTTCTCTGATTTGTACCAAACCTTCATAAGTGGTAATTTCTTAAAGTTTGGTTTCCATGTGGAATTTGAAACCATCAGCAAAATTTTTTTTGAACTTGATTAAAATTCACTGGTCTGTCTTGTACTTTGAATGGATTTTTTTTTTTAATCCATGCATGATTCTGTAACATGTGTTGGTCATTTGGGAAATACTGGTTCTCTGAGTTATGCAGAAATTCCAAACATTGACATGTTTTATTAACCAATAGGAAAAGGTGATCATGTTAATATCACTACCTATCTTATCCAAAAATCTTTAAGTATTGGGAAGCTATCAAGCTTATGGTCATTGATACAAGTATTTCAAGATTCTAATTTTCTCTTGAAAGCTGTAGTTTTCATTAGCAAGAAGTACTGTGAGTTGTTTTATTTGAAGTGACAAACTCATTCATTTCTGAGGAAATGTTGGCCAAATACTTAAGTTTGAATAACTACAGTTTGCAAGTCATACTTTCAAGTAAAAATGGTGTTGCATGAAAAAAAGCTAACAACTCAATTGCACAAGTGGTTTCTTATTTGAGACAACTACATATTTTGATAGGTATCAGAAGTGCTTTATGAGTTCTCATTTTGTCACACAGTGTATTTGAAAGATATACTCATGGGTCCAGATTAAATAAAATTAATAATGCTATGGCTTTATTATGGGCATTTTTAAGGGAAGCTGGTTTTGTTTACAGTGGCTATATAACAGTGAAGAATACAATGACTACTACAAGTTTGCTTGTCACTGCCTTGATTTATGCTGAGACAGCAGCAGTTTTACCCACCATTGCTTTTGCATCAACAGTGTAAATATCAATAGAGTGAAAAAGGCAAATGATGTCTTAGTTTATTATGATACTAGCTTTGATCTCATAGACACCCTTAAAGGAGTCTGCAGAATACACTTTGAGAACTACTTAAGTAGCCTCATATGTTTCTGATTGGACTATCTAGCCCCCTTAGGTATTTTAAGGTTTTTTTTAAAAATATCTTTCTTAGAATAGAAATTCCATGAGGGCATGGAATATGTTTTTTGTCTTCACCACTCTCACTAGCATCTAGCCAACATTTATTGGGTGTGAAATGTATGCCAGGCACAGATGGGGAATTTGAAGCACATAGAGTATAAGTAACTCACCCAAGAGTACATTATCAGAATCAGGATTTGAACACAGGCATTCTAGATCAGGAACTCATTTTAGCACTATGCTATTGTGCCTCTAAATTTATGAATAAAATCATTTCATTTGCTCCAAGAAAATAAAGGTTGCCCTGGCACACTTAACAATTTTAGTATGAAGATGTTTCATGCAAACAATACCAAACAAATAGTTTAATACAGAAGTCTCCACTAGTGCAATGATTGCATCTATGTTTTATCAAAAGCAAATACATCTTCTTGTGATTTTTCTGTAATGATCATGATTATTTGCTTCCACTGGTTGATGACTTCAATCTTCTATTTTGCTTTTTTTTCTCCAGCACTTTGTAGTTTAAATTTTTATATAGCTACAATGGAATCTCCTCAACAAATAGTTTTAGAACAACTGGACATCCACATGCAAAAAAATTGAATCCAGACAAAGACCTTATACCCTTCACAAAAATTAATGCAAAATGGATAACAGACCTAAATGTAAGATGCAAAAATATAAAACTCCTAGAAGATAATATAGGAGAAAACCTAGGTGACATTGGGTAGGCAATAATTTTTTAGTTACAACACCAAAGGCATTATCCATGAAAGAAATAAATGATCAGCTGAACTTCTTTAAAATTAAAAACTTCTGCCCTATGAAAGAGAATGAGAAGACAAGCCAGAGAAAGGGAGAAAATATTTGGAAAAATACAAATTTGATAAAGGACTGCAATCCAAAATATACAAAGAACTCTTAAATAATAAAATAATCTGATTTTAAAATGGGCCAAAGACCTTAACAGATACTTCATCAAAGAAGATATACAGATGGCAATTTAACACATGAAAAGATGTTCCACATCATATGGGGAACATCTTGATGTTGTAGAAATTCAAACAACAATGAGGTATCACTATATACCTATTAGAAGGGGCAAAATCTGGACCACTAATAACAGCAAATGTTGGTGAGGATTTGGAGGAGGTAGGAGCCCCCATTCATTGCTGATGGGAACACAAAATGGTACAAACACTTTGGGAGAAAGTTTCGCTGTTTTTACAAAAATAAACATACTCCTATCATATAATCCAGCAATGGTGCTCCTTGATAAGTGCTCAAAGGAGTTGAAAACTTGTCTACACAAAAATTTGAACATGGGTATTTATATCAGCGTTATTCATAATTGCTCAAACTTGGAGGCAACCAATATTTCCTTTAGTAGGTGAGTGGATAACTATGCTGTGGTACATCCAGACAATAGAATATTATTCAATGCTAAAAAGAAACACGCTATTAAGTCATGAAAAGACATGGAGGAACTTGAAATGTATATTATTAATTGAAAGCAGCCAGTCTGAAAAGGCTATATACTGTTTGATTCTAACTATATGACATTCTGCAAAAGGCAAAACTTTGGAGACAGTATAAATACCAGTGGTTGGCAGGGACTTGGGGGAGGAGAAAAGAGGGATGAATAGTCAGAGCACAGAGGATTTTTAGGGTGGTGAAATACTCGGCATAATACCATAATGATAGGTAGATGTTGTATTACATTTGTCCAAACCCATAGAATATACACCACCTTAAGTGAACCCTATGTAAACAATGGACTTCAGGTTATTATGATGTGTCAATGTTGGTTCATAAATTGTAACAAATGCACCCCTCTGGTGGGGGATGTTGAGAATGGGGGAGGCTATGCATGTGTTGGGGCAGGAACAATATGGGAAATCTCTGTACCTTTTGCTCAATTTTTCTGTGAAGCTTTACATGCTCTAAGAATGAAAGTCTTGGGCCGGCCGAGTGGTGCGATGGTTAAGAACTGGCTTGGGACGCCAGAGGGCCCCGGTTCGGATCCCACATATGAGGGCCAGTGACACTGCCCTCCACAGCTAAGATGCTGAACAACAGCTCAACCTGGAGCTGGGCTGCCATGAGTCGCCGGCGACGGCATAGGCTGCAGCCCCTGTGGCAGTGGGTTGCCATGGGCTACCGTGTGTAGCCAGCAGCCAGTGTGAGCGGCCAGCAGCCAGTGTGAGCGGCCAGCAGCCAGTGTGAGCGGCCAGCAGCCGCAGTGAGCGGCCGTCCAGAAGCTGGCGACTGATCTGCCTCACCTGGGAGGAGCGCAATGATGGTGCCAACTTGGGCCAGTGAAGCAACGTCCTCCACAACTAGACTGAAGAACGAAAGGACAGCAACTTGTCTGTTCCCCTCCCCCCAATTCCCCAGCGCTGTTCCCATCCCCCCAATTCCCCAATAAAAATCTTAAAAAAAAATAATGAAAGTCTTAATGAAAAGGAAAAAAAAAGTTTATGTATCATCTCAAGCCCTTACCCACAAGTCCTTCACTACTGAGGAGCTGAAATAGCTATTTATAAGGTTGGGGTATGGGTTACATAATGAGCTCTATTCATAAAGTTCTGTTTTATTACCTAAGGCCTGTTTATCTGTATTCAGAAAAGAGACAGTGGCATTAATAATAACTTACTTTGTTAAAGGTGCCATGAACTAGCCTACTAATTGGAGCTCACATTGACTTTTGACTTTTGTGGTTCAGTAATCTCTGGGGATGAAACCAAACTTTGTCCTCCCAAGTTATGTAACATCCTGCATATAAGAGGAGTAGCTTTTGCCTTCACAACTACTTTTTCTCATTCATTCATTCATTCATTCATTCATTTATCAAATATTGAGGACCCACTGAGGCATTGTGTTATTAAGGGAAGGTTAGATTATGTGATAGAGGGGCCTAACTCAGTTGGAGGTCTGTAAAGCTCTGCAAATATTTACAAGAGCATTGAAGTTTAATTTGAGACCTAAAGGATGAGTGAGGTTAAATGAAGGGTATAGGGGTTGTTGAAGAGTCAGAGCTTTGAGAATATAATGTACTGAGGCTGCATATAGAGCTGAAGGAAGACTGGTGTGATGGAAAGTAGAAAAAGATGAAGTTAGAAAGGTTTTGGAGGCCATGTTAATTTTGCACTTTATTTTAGGAGCAATGGAAATTGCTTGATCATTATCATTTACGGTGTATAGCTAAAGCATAATTTGAGATAAACTAAGGTAATAGTGGGGCTAATGAGTAACTTTATGAAAATATTTCCATTCAGCAACATTTACGAGAACTATATGTGGTTTTGGTAGAACTCAGAAATATAGAGATAAATAATATGCCGTTAGTTCATAGCATAGGCAAGGAGTCATGTAAAAAAACTAAAACCAATAAAAAGTGAAAATATAATAAATGTGAAAAAAATGTTTTGGAAACCCTTGCTGTGGACTAGGAAACTCTAAAACCAAGCACGGCTAATAGTCAGGGGGAGAGTATAAGCTTGGGCTAAGAGTATAAGCTTTAGAGCATTTTCTGACGACTTTTAGGTAACTTAGATCTTTCTGGCTTCTGATCGCTTTTCAGTAATGTAGTGACCATCTGTTTCTTCCCTAAAATATGCTCAAAAGGCGGAACATTGTGGGAATTTCCTCATTGTGAAGGACAAGACGCACAGAAAGGGAGTCTGTTGGCTTTTCTTTAGAATTCTGTGAGGATTGTCACCTTGGCAGCAAACGCGTCCTAAAATGTAAAAGGCTTTACAGAAATTGCAGATAATGTTCCCAACCAGTAGGTTGAATTGGAAGACAGCCTCTGTGGCGCTTATGCTCCGCCAATCCGCGAGGGCGGCGCTGCTCAGAAGGCTGCCGTCCTTCCGCGGAGGGCGCCGCTCTTGGCGTTTGCAGAGACGCTGATGCTAGGAGGTGACACTTCCTGCCGGGTTTGCAGTGAATCTTCTGCAGCTGCTTGGGTTGCAGCTGATGCTCATTCTGCAGCGGGCGGCAAACCATGGAGCGCCCTGGACCGAGCGAAGGTGGGTTCCGTTAGGCGGGCCCGGGCAGGGTGGACTGAATAAGGGGCTCCGGGGGCGCCGCACTAATGAAGCCCCGTCTCTCCCTATCTTACCCCAGTAACAGGCTCAGACGTATCAGGACCGGATCCGCAGCTGGCGGTCACCATGGGCTTCACGGGGTTCGGTGAGTGACTGCCCTAGGCACAGCCTCGTCTCCCTTCGCAGGGGTTTTAAGGGCCGCAGGTTGGGAGGGAAAGCCGAACTGTCACCTCTGTTCTTCGCCTTCCAGCTGTGCCAAATTCTGATTACTTCAGCTCTAGTGTATATCTTGCAGTGTCTTGGCACTCTCTTCCCCATCCGTTTTCTAACTCTTGTCTATCTGTTGGAACCAGCGCAGGTGACACTAATGGGAAGCCTTGTGAGAAAGATTGCTTTGGGACCCACGCGGTGGAGAGTGTTGTTTGGTGGAGGGAGTTGTTTTTATTTGCGTCCTGAGACTGAGAGTTAACCACTGACGGTGGTCTGCAATGTGATGGCCCTTTTGGCAACAAGTGGACCATTATGTAAAGTTATAATGGTTTTACGTCCTTTTTTATTCAAGTCTTCTGCAGCATCGTCACTTCAGGCTCTCTGTAGAGCCTAGTCATGTCACGTTATGACATAAAAAGGGCTCAAACAGATGTAGTCATCTATTGAGAACACTAGTCTCAGTAGTAAAAAAAAAAAAAGTAAATTGTTTTCTCACCCCATTTCTTTTGGGTCTTGGAGAGAACAAATGTCAGGCTAATGTGTTCAGGTCTCTTGTTTCCTCTTTCATGTATTAATTTATTCTGGTAATGTCTTGAGCCACGTTTTTACTATCTCCTTGGTGGTCACTTTGAGGGAATGTAGAGTGGTGCTTATTTTTGTTTCTGTTCTTTAAAATAGCTTTCTCCCTAAATTCAAAAGTAACACATTAATAGCAGAAAATATAAGGAACACAATACATCAGAAGAAAGTAAAATCATTCATAATCTTATGATCTAGAAATCAAGACTTAAAAGTCAGTTTTCCAGTCTTCTGTTGTATATTTATTAAGAAAATTAAGACCATATGTATATACAAATTTATATTATATATAGTTTATTTAATTCTTAATATTTTGAGGATTTTTCCATATTATAAAATGCTCTCCCAAAACATGACTTTTAATGGCTAAATAGTAGCCCATTTAATAGACGTTCCATACTTTGTGATATTTTTAACTTTCTCTTACATAGTTTCTAATTTTAACTTTTTATTTTTATTTTTTTTTATTTTTTATTTTTTAAAATTTTTTTATTTTCAATAAAATATTTGCAACAATCTTGCCTGAAATTACAAATTAACTGTTCAGTTAACCAGAAATGGATTATTCTACTGAGTTCATACAACATTTAGCTTGTAAGAAAAACTTTTTTTTTTCATTATATAGCATTCAAGAAAAATAAAACTCTTGAAATTTTAAATCTGAAGAATCTGGCAAGTTTTAAAACAGTGCATTGATCAACGTACATGTAAGTTAATACACATATTCCACTCACCCCATGACTTTGTGTAACAGTGGTTCTCAAATAGGACAACTTTGCCTCCCGGCAGACATGGTATTTGGTGTCATTGTTGCTGTGATAAGGGGACGGGTGCAGATGGCATTCAGTGGGTAGAACCCAGGGGTGCTGCCAAACACACCCTTCAATGCACATGAGGAGCCCCCACAACAGAATTATCTAGCCTTGATGTCAACAGTACCAACGGCAAGAAGCCCTGTTGCACCGAATGACCCAAGTTACATATAGCCGGTCTGTGCCCTGTATTCTGAGAACGGGCCAATAAATCAGGACACAGACCATCTAACTACCTCAAACCCATTCTCGTCTAACCTCTAACATGGAAAGTTAATTTGAACTGTTCCAAAGTAGCTAAGCAAACAGTTTTCTGGTCTATGATAAAAATGTAATGACACAGGCAGCACCGGGCAGTTAGCAAAGTGCTCTACGAGTGTCCTCAAAATGTCCCCACATCCCGAAAAGCTTCACTAATAGGCTCCAACTTGTCAGGTCCATGTGTTTAGACGGGTTACACTTACTTTTTAAAAATGATTTTAACTTTACTAAGTAGGGAATTTTTTTAGTTCTCATCATTCATTTCCATATTCACATTCTATGTATTTTCTCATGGTCAACAAACTGACTCAAATGACTTAAATTATCCCACCATTTAAAGAGAAAAGCGTCCGCAATGATTTTAAACCACGGAGTAATCTTAATTTCACCACTGGCTGCCTTTTCCAGTATTTCTTTCACTTCTTCCTTTGACACATAGCAATAGCTTTTAATCTCATTGGGATCTGGGTTCAAAGTTACGTTCTTCCTCACAAACAAGATGTAATCAATTTCATGTTCTCCCCAGATACCATCAGACTGTGCCTTGTAGTGAAACCGTGTTAGATACTTAATTTCTTCTGGAGGAACCTGTTCCGGGGAAATTCCCAATTCAGCCTTTAAACGCCTCTGTGCTGCTCATCTTACTCCTATCGCATCATTTTCTTCAAGCTCTGTAGGGTTGCTTAAGGGATGACTACAGCAAGAATTGGTAAAACAACCTGGAAAGGTGATTTTAGCGTCCGATCTCTGCTGTAGCAGGAGCTTATTTTCCGTGTTGAATAAGAAGACACTAAAAGCTCGATGCAATAATCCTTTCTCGATGTTTTTATTCAGGTGACAATTCTTTTTGGTCTCAGCCCCAATCTTCTTGTCATTTTCATCGATAACTATGCACATCTCTGCCAGGAGCTTAACCTGTTGCTCATCCAGGCTGTCAGTGGTGATTTCTGGCATAGTTACGGGATGTCTGCTCTGTCCTGGAACACTGAACTGCCGGCTGTCTGCAAGCTCTAATTTTAACTTTTATCAATAATGCTAAAGTGAAAAACTTTTTAAAAGATTTTATTGGGGAATTGGGGGAAGGGAACAGCGTTGGGGAATTGGGGAAGGGGAACAGACAAGTCGCTGTCCTTTTTGCTCTTCAGTCTAGTTGTGGAGGACATCGCTTCACTGGCCCATGTTGGTATTATCATTGCACTCTTCCTGGGTGAGGCAGTTGCTCGCCGGCCATTGGACGGCCGCTCACGGCGGCTCACGGCAGCTCATGCCTGCTGCTGGCCAGCCCCATTGCAGCCTCCGCTGTTGCCAGTGACTCATGGCAGCCCAGCTCCAGGTCGAGCTGTTGTTCACCAGCTTAGCTGTAGAGGGCGCAGCGTCACTGGCCCTCATGTGGGATCTGAACCGGGGCCCTGCTGCTCAGAGCTGGCGTCCCAAGCCAACTCGTAACCAACACGCCACTCAGCCAGCCCGAAAATGAAACTTTTTATAAATAACTTCTTTTCGTAAAAGGAATTTTATGTGTATTTCCTTGGGTAGATTTCTAGAGGGACTGCTTTAATAAAAAAATACAAACATTAAAAAGTAACCAAAATTTGGGTATGTATCCTTTAAAGCTTCTTGATACATATTGTCATAATGCCCTTCAGAAAGATTGTTTCAATTTATACCAAAATCAGTGTTATGTAAGAATGCTGTTTTTACCACATTCTTACCAAGACGGAGGAGGTATTATTATTGTTTAAAACAACAACAATGAAAAGAAGTACAACATTGCTTCCAAGCTCATTCAGGTTGTTGTCAAAATTAGGTTCCTAATGGTTTTAGGGCTGAGGCCCCTGTTTCCTTACTGACTGTAAAGTGGGAGTCCCTTAGCTTCTTAACGTACCTGCATTACCTGTCATCGTGTTCCCTTCATCTTCAAACAAACTGCAGCACCTGCCTTCAGTCCTTCTGAAACTTCAAACGCCTCTGACTTCTGTTGCATTTGTTTTACACCTTTGCTTGCAAGGGGTTCCTGTGATTAGATTGGGCCAACCAGAATAATCTCTCTAGTTTAAAATCTCCTAACTAATTACATCTGCTAAGCCGTTTTTGCCATGTGATGGTATGTATTCAGAGGCTCCAGAGATTGGGGTATGGACAGTCTCCAGTCAGCCTACCATACCAGCCTTGTAGTTTTAGGGGAAATGGTCTAGATGAATTAGAGGAGGATGGAAGAGTCAGCTGGTTGCTTAGGGATGAGATTGTCCTTAAAAATTCCTTGGGAAGTAAACTCTTCCTTCATATTGTATGGTTATTTTGTAGCCGTGCTATAAATTAGACAGATGAAGTGGTTATTGATCAATCAGTAAGTGTTTACTGAGTACCTAAAGTTTGGGTGGCTTAGTGCAAGAAGATCATAGTCTGCTACTTATTCCTATTTTAGGAAAAAAAGCTCGCACATTTGATTTGGAAGCAATGTTTGAACAAACTCGAAGAACCGCTGTGGAAAGAAGTCGGAAAACACTGGGTAAGAAGTTCAGTTATGGGCTGTTTTATTGGTTTAAATACTGTATATACCTTACACAAGTATATTGACAGTTATTGTAAGACTGAAAAAAATTTCAAAATTTAAAAAATCTTAGCAGACCATATGTACTGGTTCCTTTGGAAGCAGATTTTTTTTTTTTTAAACATGGTAAAAGTTGAATCTAAATAGGGTAAGAAAATCTGAGTGCTAAAATCTTTTAGAAGTGTACGATGAACAAACAAGGATTCTAAATGAATAAAAATCAGAATAGCAGTTTCTTTATTACCTCTCCTCCTACCTGTATCTGATTCTCATTTCATTTTTTTCTTTCCTGCTTACAGCGGAACCAGTATTTGGAAGGCTGGGCGAGAGGTGGCTCTCAGAGCTGTGTACACCACTGACTGTTGTTGACCCAGGCAGTATAGAAAATTGAGACATATAGTGAAAGTGGCTGCTGCTGCTGAATCCCTGCATTAATGAATCATATCAGACATTTAATGAAGGTCTTAATTTCACACTGTCTGGTTTGATACCAGGTGGTTGGCAATTCTAGGTACCACCTCAGGGTCTTCGAAGGAGACTGACTCCTCTACTGCTTTCTTTGGATTTGCTTCAGATCATTCTTTACACCAGAGAAGGAGTAGGTGTAACCTAATAGAGCAGAAGGGGCTAGAAATCAGACAAGACGCCTGGGAAAATTGAAGTGAAGGTTGTTCTGGCACTTGTCATTGTTGGTTTTAAAATGATACATTACATAGCAGTAATATCTAATATTTGGGAAGTGAGCTTAACAGGTCTTTGTGTGTGTGTGTGTGTGTGTGTGTGTGAAAAGATAGCTTTCTACATATTATGTGAAATTTCAAACACATACAAAAAGTGCAATAATGAACTCCTATGTACCTGTCACACAAATTAAACTACTACTGTAACAATTCATGGCTAGTGTTATTTCCATTCATTGCCTCTCTCAGATTATTTAGACACAAATTTTAGATACATTGTTTCATCCATAAATATTTTAGTTTGTGTCTTTAAAAGATAAGGATTCTTTTTAAAAAATTTGGTTTTCAATTACATCTGACATATAATATTGTTTCATGTACAATATAGTGAGTAGACATTTGTATACCTTACAAAGTGATCACCCCAATAAGCCTGGTAGAGATGAGGATCCTTTTAAAAAACGTAATCAAAATACTATTACTACACCTAAAAATATTAAATAATTTAATATCATCAAACAAGATACAGGACATGCTCTCTTAGGCATATTTATAAATGCTTTAAACTTCATTTTTAAAAATTTTAGTGAAAAAATAATATGCTACACTATTATAGTATAGCTTTTTGGTATTACCTCTTTTACCATGTGATATAAAGTGCTTTGAACAGGGATTGTTTTATTCACCTAAGGAAGTTTTATAGTCCCCAGTCCCATGTCTTGCCAGATAGGTTCTCAATATATATTTGAGAAGATTGAATTGGATATAGAACTGTGAGACTGCCTTTTAAAAAATAATCCTGCCTGTTTGGAGGATGTTTAAAATGGCATGATCCTCTATAATGAGATTGGAATTTGGAATTGGAGGGTCTAGGTTTGAGGGTCAACCCCGCGTTCTACTAGATGAGTAACATTGGATGGATTTTCAAATTTCAGATCCTTAATTTCCCCATCTTTTAGGTGGAAATGATAATAAGACCTCTCTTAGAAGGTTCTTGAAGGGATTAAGATTTCAACACCTTAGTACCTTTTAAACAGTAAAGTACTTTATAAATGTCATTTTTAATTCTTATCATTTTTCTTAATAAAACATGTATGCATTTAGCACCTAAGAGGAATTCCAGTGGTTATTAGATTTAAAAAATTTTGGAAAATTATCTCAAGACCTTGTTCTTCTGTGATGTTTGTGGATGAACTAAATGTGTTGAATGTTTTTGATGTAGCGTTACATCCTTTGTCTTGGACTGCTGTTTCTATCCCTGATCTAAACGCATGAATCCAAAGTTTGACTCACTTTCTTAAAATAAAAGTTCAAAAACTCTGATATGGGCATTTATCTCATAATTGGTATTGGAGTCTTTCCATGAACATTGATATTAGAATTGAGGAAAATAAGAACTTTGGTCCCTTTTAATAGAAGTTTAATTGTCTGTGTATATGAATATGAACTTTCATTTTTTTTTAAAGATTTTTATTGGGGAATTGGGGGAAGGGGAACAGACAAGTTGCTGTTGTTTTGTTCTTCAGTCTAGTTGCGGAGGACGTTGCTTCACTGGCCCAAGTTGGCATCATCATTGCGCTCTTCTCTGGCGAGGCAGATCAGTCGCCGGTTGCTGGCGACTCAAGGCAGCCCAGCTCCAGGTTGAGCTGTTGTTCAGCATCTTAGCTGTAGAGGGCAGTGTCATTGGCCCTCATATGTTGTTGGATCTGAACCGGGGCCCTGTGGCATCCCAAGCCAGCCCTTAACCACCGCGCCACTCGGCCGGCCCCTGTTTTCATTTTTAAATGCTCTAATAAAAAGGATGAATTACAATAAACCTTAATAAAATATGGGTTATGTAAAATGTCAGGAAATAATGGTAGAAATTGTTTTAAAATATTTTTTATGTTCCTGAAAGCTGTAAGTGTATCTTGGACATACAAAAGACAGACACTTTCTTAGAACTGTCCCATACTGTTGAGATAAATGGGGAAGAAAAATTTCCTTTATTCAAATACTTATTTTTGGTCTGGTCATGCTTTGGATGGATTATAAACCTCTGTTATGTGACTGGAAAAAACTTCCCTGAAAAAATGATTAAGATAGGATTGACTATGATTTCAATGGATGATTTAATGATCCTGAAATGGAAAATTGTTCCAGAGACTTTAGAAATTAGAAAGCTTTAATTTTTTTTTTTTTAACCTGAAATAGCCCTTTTACCTAGTTAAATCCTGCATCATCCTCTAAGGCCTTGATCGCTTTTACCTTTTCTGGGCATTATTTCAAAACCCCTCTGGACATAATAATTGTTCCCTGCCTTTGTTTCCATAACTCTTTAAAAATGTTACAAATTTATTTTAATATTGTTCATGTCTTGAGGATAAGAACCTTGTTCATTTTGATACAACGTGTAACACACAGCTTGGTACATAGTAGTTACATTTCTTAATGGAGAAATGTAATTAATATAGTTAAAGTGTTATCCTTTTCCTTCCTAGTATTTTGGCATTACACATTTAAAATTAAATGTCAATTTTTATGAAATTGGTAGGCTAGTGAATTGTTTAAATTAGAATAACAAAAACATTTAGATAAATGTTTAATAACATCTCAAATATTTAATTTTAGATACAAAGTATATCATGATTCAAAAACATTTATTCTAGCTTATATTTATAGTAGTTTTATTTCCTTTGTATTTTATTATCTTAATTCTCATTTCTTCCTATAAGTTAAGTGGTTGTTACAATGATTGGCTCTGAGATTTTCAGGTGCCAAATTCCATTCATTTGAATCTGCAATTCGTGTGAATCAGCCCAGCTGGGACACGTAGTTTTGAATTGTTTGCTCTCAACCCAGACAAAAGTCACACATATATGGGGTGCTTTTGCAGAAATGATTATCCAAAATCGGTCATTATTTGAAAGTAGAGCGATATCAATAAAATGAGGTACTTGGAAGAATAAAGTGAAGTGTTGGGGAGTAGGTTAATTCACTTTCATTAAGGAAAGACATTTTTATAGTGTTTACAGTGTGCTTAGTTCTACATTTGGTAAAAATGCACAAAACAATCCCCTCTGTCAGGGAGTTACAGTCTATTGAATTGTTTCGTTTTTTTTCCTCTCAGGCAACAATGAGGAAAAAAGGTTTGCTCTAAAATGTCCCGTCCCGCAACTTTAATGAAGCAGCAGGTGACAATAGGAACCTCTTGGAATAGAAAATTCTTGCTAGTATAAAAAAACAGTTAAAATTTTAAATTAAAAAGTTAAATGCTTCACTAGGCTGGGGCAAAATGTTTGGAGTATTTATCCATTGCTGAGGAACTCTAGTTAGACAGGTGGGTCACACTTCCCAGATAGCCTGGTGACATGTAGTAAAGGGCTGCACTTTACAGCCTTTTAAAGAGAGGCAGGTTCACTTATATCGGGTAGGTGGTACTTGTTGGATAATTTTTTTTTTTTTAAATTCGGGAATTGAGGGGAGAGGAACAGACAGGTAGACAAATTGCTGTTTTGTTCTTCAATCTAGTTGTGGGGGATGTCGCTTCACTGGCCCATGTTGGTATGATCATTGTGCTCTTCCCCGGTGAGGCAATCAGTCGCTGGTCATTGGTCGGCCGCTCACAGTGGCTCCCGGCAGCTCACACCAGCTGCCGGCCGCTCACGCTGGCTGCCAGCCACTCATGTAGCTTACAGCAGCCCACTGCAGCCCTGCTGCAGCCTACGCCATCGCCGGGGACTCACAGCAGCCCAGCTCCAGGTTGAGCTGTTGTTCATCATCTTAGCTGCAGAGGGCGAGTGTCACTTGCCCTCAATGTGGGATCCGAACCTGAGCCCTGCTGCTCAGAGCTGGTGCTCCCAAGCGAGCTCTTAACCAGCTGAGCCACTCAGCCGGCCCTGGATAATTTTTTAGTCTCTAGAAAGTCTGGGTACATCAAAGAAAGATGTAGTTGTGGGGCCTCAGTTCACTGCTCTGGGACTTAGCAGCTCTGTGCTAACTTCTCTGTGCCTTAGATTCCTGAACCGTAAAGTGAGGATAATAAAAAGTACCTACTTTGACTGAATCATATGATTGAAATTTACTGAGAGAGTAGAACTTAAATGTTCTCACCAAGAAAGAAAAAAAAAAAGGGGGGTAAGTATGTGGGGTGAGGGATATGCTCATCGACTCCATGGGGAGAATCCTTTCACAATGTGTGTGTGTGTTAAGTCATCAAGTTGTACACTTTAAATATCTTACCGTTTTGTGCATTATACCTCAATAAATTTGAAAAAAGTACCTATTTCAGAGGCTGTTAGGAAGATCAAAGATTATAGCAAGTGCTTAAAACAGTATCTGGTACATTTTAAGCTCCATGTATTGGGTGCTATTGTTTTTGTTAAATTGAGGCTGATATTAAAGATGCTTCTGGTTGCTTGCAAAGACGTCATAGAAGACCTAGTTAAAATTGGCTCAGAAAGGAAAAATTTAGTATCGCACATGACAGGAACTCTGGAATGGGGCTCTTCCATCTTCTGAGTCCCGACCCGAAGGACATGCTGTTTTTTTCCCCCTTTGCTGCTTTGCCAGGTTTAGGGTGCTGGCTTTTCCTAAGCTCACTGCCTCATGACCCAAAATTGTCAGCGGAATTTTGTTGCATGCAGATGACCACATCTGTAAGCTGAAAGGAGACTGTTTTGTATATCTCTTTTTAGGAGTAAGGAAACCTTTCTCAAATGTACCTCTAGCTGACTTCCCCTCACATCGTATTGGCTAGTATTAGTCGGGCACATCAGTTCCAAAGACAGCCATTGGCAAGAGCAACATGGTTCACACGAAGTCAAGATTCACCCTCTCTGGGCAGGGAGGGGCCAGCATCTCCTGAAGCACCTTGCTGGCTCTCTCTTACCTAGAGAAAATTCTGGTTTTCTTAGCAAGGGAAAAAAGGGGAAATGGCTGTTGGGTAGGTGGGCTAGTATTGTTTCCTGATTGGTGTCAGGGCTGCCCCTAAGAACCTGAGCCTAGAGTCCAGTTGTCTAAATGTGGTGTCCCGTTTTCCCTCACCCCCAAATCTTGCCCTGTGCTGGCAGGTATGGAGAGATTGACAGGAGAAGAGGATGAGGATAGGAGTCACGCAGGTGCATGCTTAAATTTGGACATTACACCTCTTTTTCTTTTCCACCTCCAGCTATCAGAGTGTAGAATTGTTGACTCCTCACCTACCTCTGCCGAGTGGAGAGCACAAAACAGAAAACACACCATGAGTGAGAGCTACAGCATTTGCCTTAGTTTTTCCCTGGAGAGTTTTATCTCCCATGTTTGAAATGAAAGACCTTATCTAGTTACTTGTGGACATTTGCTGGTTATCTCCTTGTTTCTCATCCTTCATATCCTAGCAGCGAAAGACCCTAAAGAATACAAACATTCCAATAACTACGTGCCCTTTGATACTGCTTGCCTTTAGGTGTATTGTTTTTCATTATTAAGGAAAAAATGTTAAAGGTTATTTCAGATCATTGAGGATGGTAGCAATTGAGAACCAGACTCTTCATATCATTCATTTCCTTCGTGTGTGTCCCCCAATTGTAGAGTGGGATTATCAGAGGAAAATAGTTAAATTTGCTTGGATAACTTTTTTTTTGTCTTTCTGAGGTAAACAGCTCCAGAAATCTAATGTGACTAAAATTTTCTCATGAATTTGGCAGGAAGTCTCTGATTAAAAATCCAGTGTGCAAAATTCAGAAATGCTGAATTTATCATTTAAAACACTGAAAGTAAAAAGTGAAATTATGTAAAGTTGTACTTTTGAATACTTTTTTACTTATCACCTTCCACATCTTTTTACATAGTGCAATCCTGGTTCATAATATATTGACATGCTAATTTTTCTAAGCATCTCTTACTTTTTCCCACATTTGTACATTTTCCATCACTATTGGCTGTTTTTTTATATTATGTTGTTATATAATAAGTCAATTATTTTCCCAGCATTGGGCATTTAAGTTGATAATTTGTTGCTGTTACTGGTAATACTCTAAGTTATATCTTTGTGATTATGTTCATTTTCAGCCTTCTTAATAATGACAAATTTTGAAGTCTAACTGCTGGAAAATTTTTTACATCTTTTCAGAAGCAAGAGAAAAAGAGGAAGAAATGAACAGAGAGAAAGAATTAAGAAGGCAAAGTGAAGATACTGAACCAATACCTTCAGGCTCAAATGTGGTCAGAGATTGCTCTAAATCATCTTCCAGGTGCTTAACTTTCTCAAAAGGATTCTAAACACATTTCCTAGGTGTTCAGAACACAAGTTTGGCAAAGTTCCTGATATTAAAAGCTTGCATAATTTCTCCTGTTTTAGGCAATAGATATCCCTAGGACCATGAAAAAGTCCTGTCACATCGCGAATTGAGTGCCTCTAAAGTATTCCACATGTAGTGTTGAAATCTATGCCTTTTGACTGCAGAGCATAACTATATAAAGTTGAAAAGAGGTTGACAAGTTTGTAATTTTTGTCATGTTTATTTTGGCATTTATGTCTTTTGACCCTTTTCCCAAAATTCTACATTCATAAGTTTATTTGGTGGGATTCTTGACAGAAATAGATAATAAGAAAGAATATAAAGAGACACATTATAAAGTACTAAGTTATAGGAGAAAGCAGCCGTTAAAATTACTTTAAAGTGAAATTTAATACTATGTAACTTAATTACTAGGAACTTTAAAAGACATAAGCAGGTATATAGATATCAAATCTGGATGAAATAATACAAGAAATCTAATGTTTAGGTGTTTTTTGTTTTTTTTTAAAAGATTTTATTGGGGAATTGGGGGAGGGGAACAGTGCTGGGGAATCAGGGGAAGGGGAACAGCAAGTTGCTGTTGTTTTGTTTTTCAGTCTAGTTGTGGAGGATGCTGCTTCACTGGCCCAAGCTGGCAACATCATTGCGCTCTTCCCTGGCGAGGCAGATCAGTCGCCGGCCTCTGGAAGGCCGCTCACAGCGGCTGCTGGCTGCTCATGCTGGCTCGCCGGCTGCACATGGTAGCTTATGGCAGCCCACTGCAGCAGGGGACTGCAGCAGGGGACCGCAGCCTACGCTGTGGCCGGCGACCCATGGCAGCCCAGCTCCAGGTCGAGCTGTTGTTCAGCATCTTAGCTGTAGAGGGCAGTGTCACTGGCCCTCATATGTGGGATCCAAACCGGGGCTTTCTGGCATCCCCAGTCAGTTCTTAACCAACGCGCCATTCTGCCGGCCCTGTTTAGGTGTATTTTTAATTGTCAGATTGGTT